ATTTTGCTTTATTTGTTGTTCTCGTTTGCTTTGTTGCGCTCGTTTGCAGATCCCTCGCGTTCTCGCCCGCTACGTGATGTAAAAATATGTTTAAAAAAGGAGAAGAATTGTTCAAAGAAGAAGCTTCGCGCTTTAAGGGGTCAAAACAGTGTGAAATTTTCAAAAAATCGATTTTCTTTTTTATTTTAAATAGTAGTTTGAAGTCTTGGATATAAGATAGAAAAGGTCTTTAAAACGACTTATTTTGGGGTATAATAATAAATCCGTGGATACAGAATAATTAAATTTATATCGCTATTTACAACTTTAAGTATTATAAAGTGTGATTCAAATATTGCACAAAAGCTCGTGTCAACCAAATATGTAGTTTTTTTTTTTACTAGCTCTCCAAAGTATACGTAATTTTTAGGCCCGTCACACTGCTCCTTTAAAACAAGATCAAATTGATTGTCATATGATTTCTTCTTATTACCAAATCGTAACAATTTGAAGTATCGACAATTTTTTCGTCATTCGTTCGTTCATTTATGCTCTTCATTGTATATCTTTCTAGCTGCAACTAGATCTTCAAACAAGTTTAATCTTTTGCATTAAAAGACTAAAAAGAATCAACTAAAAAATCAACTCTTTAATTTTCAAACTACCTCCAACGATTTTCATCCACCCAGTAAGACCAAACCAAACACTCTTTCTAACACCACCGACGAAATCCGTTCGAACAAGTTGCTGTTCACTGTCGTATTACCATAGACAAAGTCGTTTCCACGAAACGTTAGGAGCGTGTAGGCAACAATCGTCCATCGACGAGGGAGCGAACAATCTAATCGCGAACACCATCATCTGTCCGATCGCTGGAGGCGAGCTGCGTTGGCTAAAATCGTGTGTATCGAGCGGAGGATCGAGCGCGAAACGGCGCGATTAGATTGCCAGTTTGTCAGGCGAGTCGAATCGAAAATCCCGCGGCTTGGAATTCCGCATTGCCAGAGATGCACCGTTAAGGGTTTATCGATGTCGTGTGATGTTCGGTGGGAAGTATCGTGCACCGTTTCTCCCTGCTCTTTTTCCGGCACAATGGCCGCGCTAACTGCGCCAACGCGTTAACGTTACACGAGCCATCGAGATGATCATGCGCGCAATACCACGCACGTACCACGCTGTAGGGCATTAATTTCCAGTAAGTCGTAGCGCGAAATCCCTCTTTGAAAGCGTGAGATTTTCGATTCTAGTTTAGTCTTGCCAAAGTTGTTGTGTATTATCACGCTACGAGAAAACGATATTATTCATTTCAATTTAACATCCAGATGAAATGAATAATTAAACCTAATCAAGAGTGAACGTCTAGATAAGGTAAGAATTGTCGAAGAAAATCGTTCCCATTAGACACGAACGAGCGCACCGCGAAAAATTTACGAGACCATCGTAGACATTGTATGGTAAATTGAATTTCACACGGTGAAAAATCGTTCCTATTAGACACGAACGAGCGCGCCGCGAAAAATTTACGAGACCATCGTAGACATTGTATGGTAAATTGAATTTCACGCGGTCAGATATAAATAAATAAAGACTGGCCGCGCTTCCGAACTTTGTCTTTTTGTCTCCAGAATTTTTCTCATTTCTCTCTCTCTCTCTCTCTCTCTCTCTCTCTCTCTCTCTCTCTCTCTCTCTCTCTCTCTCTTTCTCTCTGTTCTGTGATGCTAATGAGAAAAGATAGCCGGCAATGAATCACGGGGAACGTCGTAAAGAATGGACCTTTATGAACTCGCACCCTCCCAACAGCGCAATCCTCCGCTTCTTTACCGCTAACTCTTTGTCTTGTAAATGCAGCGTGCGTCGTTTAACACATAATGGAAGCTTCGTTGTAATTTCAAATATACCACCCGTGAAATGACGAAGTTAGAAAAGTTAGAACGCTAGACTTATCGCTAGGCCGCCGATGTTTATTCAACTCATTTATATTTATATATAAATATACGTTACATAAATTAGATAAATATATAATATATATTATTAATATTATATAAATATTATAATGTTATATATTATATAGATAATAATAATATAAATTATAATAATATACGTTATATAAATTATATAAATAAGTATATATATATTATATATTATATAATTGTTAATATTATATAAATATTAATACAAATAATATAAATATTTATTTAATAAATATACATACGGTGACTCCCATTAATATTCGAACACTAGAGTTTCAAGCTTGAGGCCTTCACTTTTAAAATACGTTCGCTTTAATCGAAGGTTTTACTTCACTATTATCTTCCATAATGCGTAAATTTTAATTACAATCATAACATTCTCATTTCTCAGAGAGCTATAAACTTTTAAGCGAAAATGTAACGTAATTCAATCGAAATGATTGAGATACGTAATCTCATTCGTAAAACTATTAATAATTAATTAATTAATTAATTAATTAACGTACATACGATTCTCATCTGATCAACGATGAGTTCGCGATGTCGAAGGTCGTGTCGATGGAAATGGTCTTTAACATCTGTCACGATCTCGCGTTGATTCAACGCAGCTTGACGTTGATGCGAAGTTAACGACTTGATCGAGGGTGAAAAATAATTTCACGCTCGTGATGTATGTATGTACGATAGAAACCTCACGGCCACGCGAGATGGAGAAGTCAATATGTATACGCACGTCTGAGGTCGTTGCCTTTTAAAAACCGAGGATCGAATTCTCGAAGAGCGCGCTCTGACGCAATCTGAATATCATTATCCCGCGGAGGTACATAATTCTTTGTTTTTCTTGTAATATCAGTTGCACAGGACGTATACAAATTAGCCGGCGGAATGTAATTCTCGATTTTGACTTGTAATTTCATGGAACGATTTATTTGATGTATTTGCAAAATTTATCACGATTATTGCAGATCAAATATTATTTTTCGAAGATCGGAGTTGCGGTCGTTCATTTATTTCTTTTCGGAAACGTTTTCGAACTGAATTCTCGAAATTATGAGGTTGAAAATGTAAAATGGTTCTTTTCACAAACGAAAGTTTAGAGATTTAGGGATTTACAGAACGAAATAACAATGCGCACAAGAATTTCCTATTATCGATCGCAAACTACGTTAGAAAATAATCCATTTCTTTATTTTTTTTTATTTCTTTATAAATTATTTATTTTTTTTTATTTATTTTATATTTATCTTTAAACATTTCTTATTCGATAAAATAGTAAAACAATAATCATTGATAGTATATAGTAATTTAGTTGCCAACAGTATAGTAAAATACTAATCATCCATAACATATTTGCTTAAAAGTAGCAGCAATTTCGAAATTTCAAAATTTCTCGAAGAATAATTGTATGTATATTATCATGAACTTCTTTATAGTTTTCATATTGGAAGAACAACGTGTCCTTCGAAACATTTTTCCTTGCAAGTATGTATCGATCGTCGATTCCATGTTTCCACGTATAGTTTCTGCGATAAATCCCGCGATCTCAACGAACCATGACAAACCATTACAGCATGTACCATTCGATCGGCTGCGGTTTTCCCATTTTTCAGGCTTTGGTAGAATAACGCCAAGCTGGTCCACTAACCGAGCCTTGAAGCAAACTGTTTTTTTACCTTGACACCGGTTATGTGTGCCATCGTGCGCATAAATTTGATTTCCTCGAGATTGGAATCCACGTTCGTAATCTGAGCATATTTTTAACATTTCTTGTACATACGTAATGAGTCGTGTAAAGTGTTGTACCGAATGAGGTGTTCCAAATAGATTTTTGTTTAAAACATATTGATCATGATACACGATATAAAATTATAACAGTTATAAAATTATCGACGAATTATTTTCCGTCGTTACTAGTTCTAATTGTGCCTTTTCACTGTATATCGTAAACCTATATAATTATCACAATTATTAAATCGCATTGATAAAAATATTTACTTGAAGAAAGAAATATTATACGAAAAATTAAATATTCATTTAATTAAATGTTATACTGATAATAGTATAAGAGAAAAAAATCATATATCTGTAATTATATATAAAGGATCCCAAAACCCTTTGACTATTTTGTTCATTTCGATTATGTACATTCCAACGATTACGTTCCACGAATGTAACTTCATCACTACAATAAATCATGCTCTCACCTGCTCACGTGCTTGACTTTTGGAAACACACTTCTTCTTTCTTTTCCCCTTTTTTTTTCTCTTTAAGCATTCCTCCTCAGCGCCAGTACCGTTACTGGTATTACTGTACACCTGACTAAATTTATTGCGCGTTCCGATTATTGAATCGTTGAATAGCGGCAGTTAGTTGGTCAGCAAATATATGCTGTATTCGATACAAATATATATATTTCGAAAGATCACGTTCATGGCCATAATTTTTTTACGTAGATCATGCGAAAAATGGAAATGCTCGTAGAGAAAAAATTGATTTTTATGCGACAAAAGATAATTTTCAGGATAATTGTTTATACCTAGAAATAGTTTTCTAGGAAAATAGAACAAAGTCTACAAGTTTTATTTGAATTCTCGAGTTAATGAGATGTTTAGAACAATAAATGTAAAATAATATTTAAAATAATGGAGTATAAGAATAATAAACAAATATAATGGAATATATTCGCAAGATTTTAGAATTCTTAAATTAACTAGGTAATTATTATTATTAATATTAAATTATTATTAACTCAATAAATTAAAAATATTATTATTAAATTAATAATAAGGTAATTATTATTAATATTGAAAAAAATACAAATTATCATTCTCCTTGTTAAAAAGATTTTTATTAAGAAATAAAAACATTTTCCCATCGTTAAATAATTTAAAATATAATATATTAATATAATTTATAATATAATTTTATTATATTATATATATATTATTTATTATTATTATATTATTTATATTAATAAATATAACATAATATAATTTAAAATATAATAATTATATATTAATAAGATTTTTTCTTATTTAAAATTGGTCTCCCATGACGAAATTACCATTCGTAAAATATGTTTTTGTCGAAAAGTAAAAGTTTCTTAACTGTTTTCTTTACTTTCTTTCATTTCTAATTATATCTTTTTCTTTGATTGCAGAACGATTATTATTTGCCACCAAGATCGACATGGTCCAGAGTCTCGCCGGAACACACGAAAAAACAAAGAGGCAACACTACGTGGAAAATCGGCAGTGCAATGTTAATTGTCTCCGCTATGTTGGTATTAATTGCTGTCTTCGCGATTGCAGGGCTCGCATTGTGGATGGGAGGTTCGTTCATGTTCTTTTCTTATCGAACATTTCACAGAGAATTACATTAAATATCAAACAAACTGAAAGAACGAATTTTGTTTTAGCTCTTCGAACAGATTCAAAGAATGGTAAGTATTAATCTAGCGCAAAGTAAAATAAATCGATACAAATTCTTTACTTTAATATCGTATTCGTACAAAATGTAAAGTATTACAGAACGTTTGTTGAAATATCCAAATTTATATTAAAATATATAAAGTCAATCCTAGTTTCCTTTCTACAATAACATTTCTGATAGAAGAAATTAATATTCGAATTTTAATGATGTTCATTACGATATTTATAGCGATCGTTGGATTCTCCTGCACATTCAGGGTGTCCAAGGGTGAGAAATATAATCCAATGTTGAAGCTGAATACTAGCATGGTGTTTCGTGAAAAAGAACGAAAATACAAAAATATAGTAAGAATGACAATCACTCTAAATTCTAATTTACAGAGCTCCATTTTGTATAAATTAACGTAAATCCAATGAATTCGTACAAATGGAGTAAAAATGTGATTCGTCTTGCACGACATATGACAAATTTGTAAATTTTCAGTTCGAGGTTCTATTTAGAAGAAGCGTTTTAGGCGCCGCTTACAAACAGACAATCATAGACAAATTCGAAAGTGGCGTTCTGAAGGTGTTCTTCAGGATATATCTTGATAGAAGAAAGATACCACGATCGATCACGAACGTCGAGGACACGATCGAGGACATTATCGCGAAGGAGACGTACTCATCGTCCTCCTTGTTCAAGGATATGGAACTGGACCTCACTGCTATATCAGTAAAAAGTCAGCATCCGCTAGAAATCCACTGATCGATCATGATAAAACACTTTAACTTAATGGTTTGAGTGATATTCGTGAGATATAAAGATACGTCATTGAATTTAAACTGCATCTCTCACACGGAATTATTTGATTTAATTTTAAGAATTTGATGTTATATTTATGCATTTTTATGCATAAAAATATTTGGATATTATTTAATTAAATTCAATCTCTATTTATTTTCTTCTTTTTTCGTAGAATGAATCAGTCTGTTTCTTTTTTAAAAATAATTAAAAAAATTATGATGCATAATGCAATTCAATTAAGTAATTTTTATTATTTCTTCGTAGAATAAATCCTTTTCTTATTTACACGAAATCAGAGCGAAAAGTAAATAACTTTATGCGAGTAAATTCATCAAATATTCGTCTCTCACTTGTCCAGGAATAAATCAAGAAACACCAGGGAGTCAAAAGCAAAAGAACGCAATGATCACAAAGAACGGTCTCCTCCGGCCAAACAGGAACAGCTCTTTGATCACCAGTTCGAAACCGAAATCGAAACCGAGCAAAATCGAGTCCACGGAGCCGGACATCGACTTCAGCAACATACCAACGATCCAAGGAACCTATAGAGCCACAAAAGTGAACGTCACCACTTCAAACAAGATGAACTCCACTCAAGAACCAACGAGAAGTCAATCAAACACGAGAAATAATACCAAAGTACCCTTACCTCAGGAACAAACCACGATCAAACCGATCTCTGTCGAAGACACCAGCGAAATAAATCAGAGCATCGTTCAAACGACCAACAAAATAAACGAGAAGGTGAATCACACGGTGAACGACGAATCATCTTCCAAGAACCCATCCACGACACCCATCTCTTCCACCAGAGACGACGATCTCTTCAAGGATTTCCGCAATCCAAATTTCGAAACCTCACCGTGGAAACCGATCATACCCGGTTACATCAACACGGAACTGAAACTACTGCCGGGCAACGTCCAAAAGACGAGCTACAAAGTGAATTACAGCAACAGTAATCTCGGTGAGGTTGTTCCCAATACAACGACGAGAAACTCTCAGCAGAACGTTCAAGGAAAGGTTCCACAGTCTTCGACGACCAGCGCGAAACCTCCCGAGCCGTCGGTGATGTTTAACTCGTACGTAGATGTCCCGGGCATGAGCAGTTTCGACATCAGAGACACGGACTTCCCGCGAGATCGAATCGTCCCTCAGGAAATGGTGAATTTCAGAGTGAACGGGAAGTTCAAGAACAAGATCCCGGGGTTGTCGGAGGACGGCGAGACATTCACAGAAGCCTCTCCGTCTCGTTTAGACGACAAGAGGCCGGACATAGACGTCTCTGGCCAATTGCCATCCGAGACTTACGACGTGAAGCTTCGAACCTCTTCCCAACCTCTCGGACTCTCGTCGTCTCAGCCTTTGGAGCTCTCCTCCGCGAAACCTTATCGATCGACGAGCGAGAATGAGACGGGCTGGAGAGTGACAAACGCTGGCTTCGATGACTCTGTCGGCGACGTTAAGAATCCCGACGATTCGACGAAGATGAATAGAAAAAGACTGGGTGAAACTACTGCGAAGGAGAGTTCCGACAATTTTCTACCTTCGATGGCTTCCAGTACGCCCAAGTGGCACGCACAGAGGCCGATCGAGTCGGATATCAACGAGGAATCGACGACGAAAGTGCCCGGGGTTGGAGTGGCTGAGCCGGTTGCCGACGTGGACGTAGAACTGGAGCCTAGAAATCGGTACTCGGACGTTCAAGCGATAGTGAAGCACAAGAACAACGCTTTGCAGGACAGAAAGGTCGACAAGAACGTCCAAGAGCCAGTGTACACCAGTTACAAGACTCCCGATTTGAACGGAGCTGGCGTGAGGCCGAGTTTGATCGAGAGTTCCGGGACTTTGAAGCCGTTTCGGCACACGATACCCGTCGACAAGATCACGTCCGTCGTTGACCATGGCAAGGATCACTCTTTGAGAGGCTCGTTGAAGCAGGAGATTAACACTGTGACGGATAGTATAACGAATCAAGGGGAGAGATTCACCGAAACTGGTAAACTGGGCACGGATCTTGATAGTAGAGAGGAGGTAATTAAAGTGTTACCGGCTGAAGAGAGCAAAGAAGAGGTGATTGAAGTACCATTGGTCGAAGAAGAAGCAGTTAAGGAAAATTTCGAGCCGGAAACTTTCACAAATATCCCCATTTCTCACGTAAAGATCGAGGAACATGCAGGATCGACTGAATCGAACACCGAGAGCGTGATAGACAACGATAAGCTTTTGAGATTGGGAACGACGGAAGTTTATTCCGAGGTGATACATCCGTCGTACAACAACATAGATAAATTAGTCGTGAAGAACGAGGAAGACAAGAAGATCCCAGGAAGGTTAACACCTAGTATCTCAAGGAACTCGACGTTCATCGAGATCGACACGTTGAAACACACTCCTGGAGAGACGGAGGAAGAAGACTCGTCGGGGAACAAATCGGCGACGAAAGGCGAGGACAATTGGTTGTTCAACGGCACTCTGAATCGACCGTACAACTCGTTGGAAACGAGAAAGAAGATTTACAACGACACGCTGAAAGCTTACGTGGTGGAGAACTTGGTTACTCTGGCTCCTGCCAAGAGCAACACAGGTATTGGACGACCGGTGAGGCCAAGGCCTAAAATAGACAGAGAGAAAACGATGAGAATCGACGAGAAATCCAGCAACAGAAGTTCTATGGACGACACTCTGCTCTTGGAGCAACTGTTCGGCGTGCAGAACCGGGACAGAAACACAACGAAACGTAACTCGCTCGGTCATGGAGACCCTGCTGAAGAGAATCTCGACAACGAACGTCCCCGAATCGAGCAAATCGTGGAGGTGGTAACGTCGATTAGCACCAAAGTATCTACGAATTTCAAAGGGAACCCAGTCGTGTTGAAATTCGTCGTTACAAATTCGACTTCGCTACCAGTGATTCATAGGGTCGGAGAGGAAGTCACCACTTTGGGAACACCATCGGTTCCAGAAGAATTTTCTGTTCCCGGCAAAGAGGAGAATAGATCGTTTGGGGATCGAACTTCGAATAATACGCCGTCATTGGCATCCAGCCAAGACGTGCAAACCTCGGATAGAAAGATCTCCACGATGGAGGAGAACAAATCTCTTTTGGAGAAATTGAAACAGTTCGCGGAGATCGGAACTGAGAACGAGCCCGTGAAGGGCAAGAACAGCTCGAGGCCGAATGTGGGAACGTTACAGTCGCACGTTTCGAACGTGAAGTCGAACACGAGGCAGGAGAGCCAGAGACCGCTGCCTGACTTCGAGAAATTGAAGCAGATCGCCGACATTGCGACTGGGAACGAGACCTTGATGAATTCTAGCGCCGGGTTCACGATGACTCGCGACGGCGTCGAGATATTGACGAAGATATTGAATAAAATGGAGGATCGTACCGATAAGATGATTTCTAGTACCGAAGGGAATTTGGAAGTTGGTAATTATCTTTTTATCAGTTATCAGTTTCAGTAGGGTTATTCGTTTAATTTATTCATTAAACATCAGCGTAATATTTTATTTGTATATTTGTCTTTTTGTTTATTGATTTACTTTGAGTTTTATTTTTTAATATTGTAAAAAATTTTGAGAAAGAAGATTTCGGGGAATTAAGATTTTTTAAAGAAATTTTAAGAAAGAGGAGTTTAAGAATTTTCTCTGTCGCCATTCTTTTTTAAACGATTTCATGAAATTTAAAAAAATTAAAATATTCACCATGCGGTGTACTATTCCTTTTCTTAATTATAAAAATATTTTTATATATTATTTTTAAAATTTTTATACATTATCATATTATAATATTATATAATTATTTTATATATTATTTTTAAAATTTTTATTTTAAAATGTTTTAAATTTGTGTCGTATAATTAGTTCTGTAATTTTACAAAACTTGAAAACATTGATCTTTTAAATTATAGAATTTTTGTGGGCACGATCGTATGATTCGTGATAATACATTACTTTGAAGAGTGTTATATTTTTTTACCCTTTGATAAAACAATATAAAAGTTAATCTATTTACGCTTTTTCAGTAACGTTGCATTTGCGCAATTTTCATCCGTTACTTCGATTCTTTGTTGAGTTAAGAAAATATTTTACTCAATGAGCTTGTTGATTCAGTTGATTTCTAATTAATAACATTAACATTTTTATCATTTCTTACAGATCATTGTTTCGGTTTCCTATGTAGAGACGGAAAGTGCTTGCCTTCCAGCGGCAGGTGCAATATGTTAGGCGAATGTCCAAATTCGGAGGACGAGGCGAACTGTACGTGCGCCGACTTCCTAAAGGCGCAACTCTTACACGAAAAGATTTGCGACGGAGTGGCGGACTGTTTCGATTACTCGGACGAAACAGACTGTGGTATTCGCATTTTACGAATTACTATTCTTTTTCCTATCGTTGAAAAATTTTACAAATTCGAGGAAGACACAGAGATTCCTAACTCAAAAATATAACAATTTGTAAACTCGTTTTTTAAATGTTGTGGCAGATCTTAAATTAATTTGTAATTTTCTGATTTCCCAGACTGGTGCCAAGAAGGTCAATTCGTCTGCGGCAACAGTCGGACCTGCATAAACCAAGACAGAGTTTGCAATGGCTACAGCGATTGTCCAGGTGGAGAAGACGAGAAGAAATGTGCAGCGTTGATAGAAGACGATTCAGCGTTAAATCACGAGGAAACGAGTACTCTCGCTAAGGACGAGAATAATTCAGAGAGCAGCGTGACCAACGATGAACATCCATCATCTCAAGGACACTTTTCAGAGACAGAATCCGCCACCAGCAAGGACGTTCTTTATGATCAAGAAGCGGTGGAATCGTCCATTTTCGAATCGACCACTCTACACGCGTTTAAAGACGACGCTCGATTAGAGAAAATTATGAGCGCCAAGGACGAATCCGCGACTAAGGAGGAAACTCGATTTTTTGAAAATCGCGAACGCAGCAACGCTACGACTCTCGTTTCTGGAAGGGAGATATCGTCGAGCGCGAAAGACGTTTTAACGCGTGGGAATTCGATTCATCTAAATACGGAAACTAATGATAAGACGCATACATCGGCGACTCATTTGAAGAAAGAGATCAATAGTTACAACGAAAAGGGTTTTCTGAATATTAGGAAAAATGGGAGGTGGGGGAAATTGTGCTTGAGTGGAATGGATGATCTTTTAGAAGAGAGACAAGCTGCCTGGACTATTGAGGATCTTGGTAGAGCTGTTTGCAAGGCTATCACATATCAGTAAGTATAATTATAAAAATTCCAGATTCCATCGGATGTAATATCTCGTCCTTTATAATTAAAAAAAAATTTTTATCACACGATACGTGGGAAAATAAAAATTTATTTGAAAATAAAACACGAGCCTACAACTCAATGAACAAATTTCATGAATGTTGTGAAATAATATTTCATTGGATTAATTTTCATCGAGATTAATGTTAACGTGTAATTCTGTCTAAATTTCGCGTAAGTTATAAATCTTCTCAAAGACAATTTTACACATTACTGAGTACAATAAGATACAATAAAAATTTGTATTAAATCAACGCCAACATCTTTCAGAGATTACGAAACCGTGGAGAAGGTGTTGGACGAAAATCCAACATCCGTGAGATCGTACTACACTCTGTCATACAACGAGAAACCTCTGGATAAAACGATCTTGACTTTCAAGCCTTCGGAGTGCCCGAGTGGCGAGATCCTCAGGGTCAAGTGCAAGAACCTTGAATGTGGAATAAGAACGCAGGTCCCATCTCAGGCCAGGTACACTCACTGAACCAGTTTCACATAATTATACGCCGACCGGATCATATGCAAAACTATTTGCACGCGAGGATAACGACCTCTATCTAGTAACAATATATTAAAACGGAGTTAAAAAGTTTGTATAAAATTAGAATTATTGTGATTATGTCTCGTTCCAGAGATAAGCAATTATATCTCGATATATTACAGTCGTAAATTTTGATCGAAACTCGCAAGAATAGTCAGCTTCGCAGGAAACGAAGAATCATTCGTTTCTTTTATAAAAGATAATGATTACATACTGGGAAAAATTATTCACGCGTAATTGACAATGATTTTAATGATAATTGAAATTAAGTGGCTTTGTTATCATTTCGCATAGTTTACGTATTATTATAATTTCTTTTTATGAAATTTTCAAGGAAAAATTGTTAATGTGGTGTTTTATTTAATTTAAGAGCTATTAATTTAAATCCAAGAATCAATATATTTCAATCTTTATTTTAGAAATGAAATATTTTACAGGAAAATTCCATTAATTATTTCAATAAAAAATACTAATTTTTTTATGTAAAATTAATATACAGTATAAGAAACTATAATATATGAATTTCACTGCATTCAGACCAGAGAATACAAAAGCAAAAATTAATAATGATCAATAAATAATTTAATATTATCCAATATTATCCAATTTTCACAGTCGATGAAAATTGTAACTTAAGATGTACATACATACATTGAAACAGATCGAATGTTTCACGTCATTGCAGGATAGTCGGAGGTGGAAGTTCATTAGCCGGAAGTTGGCCATGGCAAGTAGCTCTCTATAAAGAAGGCGATTACCAATGCGGAGGAGCTCTTATTAACGAACGATGGATTTTATCAGCAGGACATTGTTTTTATCAGTAAGTTAAATAATACAAACGGAATAATAATATATGGAGTATATTGAAATGAAAAATACTGCAAGCAATTCAAACTCTATCACCAAAATCATATGTAAATACTTCGTAAAGCTGCATTAGAAGATTATACTCAAAAAATTTAATTATTTAATTGTACATGCTATGCTACGACAAATATAATTATTCATAATTTCTTCTTTCTCTTTGTCATTTTTCATGTAAGTATTTGAAATGCCTCGTTATGAAAACTTTTTGCTAATAAAAATTACTGTAAACCAAAATGGATTGAGAGTGATTCGAAATTTTATCTCGAGAGATCGTAACAAGTTCCCGGAAAAGTTCTAACATTCTAATATGTTGCAGTGCTCAAGATGAATATTGGGTGGCAAGAATCGGAGCGACCCGCAGAGGGAGCTTCCCAAGCCCGTACGAACAAGTACTACGTTTAGATCACATATCGTTGCATCCTGATTACATCGATAACGGCTTCATAAACGATATAGCCATGCTGAGACTCGAAGAACCAGTAACATTCAGCGACTACGTTCGACCAGTTTGTCTACCAAACTCAGAACCAAAAAGTGGCACCATGTGCACTGTTACCGGATGGGGACAGTTATTCGAGATCGGGAGAATATTTCGTAAATTACAATTGTTTATCTGTTCTTTGTGAACAAAACGCTACTTCTAACCCTGATCTATAAAAATGTATTTCCTTTGAATAGCGGACACTCTGCAAGAGGTCCAACTTCCGGTAATTTCCACGGAGGAATGTCGAAGGAAGACTTTATTCCTTCCATTGTACAGGATAACGTCAGGAATGCTCTGCGCTGGATTAAAAGATGGTGGAAGAGACGCTTGTTTGGGAGACAGTGGTGGACCATTGGTTTGTTCAGAATCAAATAACAAGTACACTCTTCAAGGTAACGTCATTAACGATTACTGTAATTTATCATCATTAAACATTGACCTGTATCTATACTGTTTAAAATTATCTAACTGTACTTCTATGTTTTATTTTAACTTTTTTATGAAAAATAAAGCTGTAAAATTATAATTGGAAGGGAAACCAGAATTTTACTATTTAATTCAGACGACAGAATATTTAATATAAGTGTATAGTTCTATAATTAATTAAGGATCACAGGGAAGAAACAAAACATCCAAGTTATTTAAAATTAATAAAACTAATTCATAAATTAAACAATTTATGAACAAGATTAAAAATTAAATAAAACTGTAACTTTTATTAATCTGTTAATTCTTCAGTTTATTTTTTATTTTTGAATTTTGATTCGTTTGAACTTAACAGAGAATCTAAAATTGTTTTAAATTTGAAAACAAAATGCTTGTAAGTTATTTAAATATTTAACAATTACTTATATGTAATGCAACAATAAATTGTATTACATAAAATCACACGATTTTCAGGTATCACTTCGAATGGATATGGTTGCGCCAGGCCTGGAAGACCTGGAGTCTACACGAAAGTGCATCATTATCTTCCATGGATCGAGTACGTGATTTCCAGAGAAGATATTCGATCGTCGATAGCTTCTTGCAAAGGTCATCGATGTCCCCTAGGCGAATGTCTGCCAAAATCTCGAATATGCAACGGGTTCTTAGAATGTTCGGACGGTAGCGACGAACGTAATTGCCCTGTTAGTTTATAATGAAACGAAGACTGATGTTATTCATATTTATTTGTTCAATCAGAGGTATTGAACGAATTTAATCAATGAAAGAATTTATAAATTTATACATTTGTAATATAATGTTAAAATTTATATTTCCAACAGTATAATGCGATTATAATATTATATTAAAACATTATAAATTTGTAAATGACAAATTTAATTCTAGACGTAAATAACAAAAAGTAATTCGTTCGTCGTAAACGAACAATGAAAAGAACACCGTCAATTACAACGAAAAAGTAAAACATAGAAATTAAAGGAAAAAAAAAAATGAATGTTCAAGTAAATTAAAAAATGATTAATAGAAATGTGAGTATTAAGAGAACGTCTCGTGATTAGTGAAGAGTGAAGTTTTCCACCGTTGGAAGTGTTGCTGTGAAATATTAAATATTCATTGATTTACATAGATGTGCAATACATAGCTAGAAATCAAAAGTTGAAGATAAATGTTAGAGAGTGTATCCGAACATCGGTGTAAAATATTTTTAACGAGTTTCGATTATTAGTGGTAATTAACGACGCTGTTAGCACTGATCTGTGCTCTTCTACACAGTTATCTTTGCGTTTGATAGTTAGCATTAATACGTTTGAATTATACATGAATAAATCTACTTAATGACTATGCATTTGAAGATTCTTCGTGACTCGATTCGTGGCACGAACATGGCACGAATAGCGAGAAGAAAGAATAGTATCTTTGAGTCATTCGTGGTCGACTCAGGGATACTTGCTAGCATAGAAATATACAATCGAACCTGGCATTTTGATTCATTTGCTTGCAAGTACAAAACGAATCTCAAGGCCATGTTACGCCGTGCTCATTACTTCGGTCTCTTTGTAAGATTTTTGACATAACGTGTGTATGTATATACATCGTATCTAATTATGTAAAAAGATCCTTTTTAATGCTAATAAACGAGAATTTTTAGAAAACGAAGGAGAAGCATCGTTCAGACGTAATTCTTTGCGTCATCTGAAACATAATGACTGAACGCTAATTATTTTTGAAAAATGGAAACAATTACGAACACAAGGTTTAAATGGTATATTAATTTGTTTTATTAGGACAATTAGAAATAGCACTGAAAATCATATTCAGAAATAAATATTAATTATTCTCAATGTAATACTCTATCGATATTAAAACGAAGGCTGTTAGAAATTACGGCATTACAGGCAGTACGATCCTTAATGATAAATAATCACTCAGTTCAAATGATCAGCGTTCTAGATTCAAACAGGTTTAGTACCGTATATTTGATATAAATGAAAAAGTCGTGTCTCTTTTGAATTTTTCTCTCCCTCTCTTTCTGTCTCTCTGATAAAAAAGGATCGAACTGCTGGATTCATTGTTATTCTATTATGATCATGTCATTCTAGATCGTGCCTTTAAGTAGTTCTAATATTAGATTATACCTACGATTAGCACAATATACCAAGTGGTAAAAATCACAATGTAATTTACGTCACGTTCAAACAGCACGCTTTTAAAATTCAGTATCGAGTTTATTAATTGATTTATCGTTTCGTGGAGTGTTCCTCCTTACGGCTTGACCATTAAGACTTTTGCACAACCGTTATTTTTGATCATTTTCGTCTCGCTTCGTCTCGAAGGATACCATCATCCTCTTACGAGTGCGAAAGTTCTTCAACGCACGCGCGTAAACGATCGATTTGTTCTCTCATAAAATAAATTCAGCATCCCATTCTATTTACACATCACGAACATTTATGAACACGGAAGACTCGCAAAACTGAAAGCACAAACTTGAAAATTCAATGAAAATTATATATATATATATAATGTTATACTGGCATGAAATCATTTCTTTCCAATCAACGCGGTTCTACATCATTGAATTAATACATAATACGATATGTAAAGTAAGAATGCTGCAAAAGTCTCAAGTTAATATTGGGTACCTCGTTAAATGTAAGAAGTGCAGTAGAGATGAATTCAGCATATTAAAACAAAAAAAAAACAATAATATCGTTTAAACGGTTTAAACAATAATATCATTCAATATGACTTTGTTTTCAAGTTACAACTTACTTTATGTTGCAACAGTTGTTAAAGAAATACTTCACACAGACTGTATTTTTCAATCGCTCTCCAGACTTAAATTTGCTCATGTATTATCATGGAGATATTTAAAATCTGCAAACACTTCCTCAATCAGATCTAATATTATTCAATCTATGCAATGTCTGCTTTGTTTGGAATAGCTCAATAATGACGACGTAAAACAAAATGTAAAACATAACATACAACAAAAAGTAACTCGAGAACAACATCATATTGGACCTACATTTACAATAAATCTTTTTCTTACTTTTGCGTGCTGAATCTATCGCTTGCTGTACTTTGTACACACAACCAGATACTCTGTACAATTAAGCTATATTGATATGACATCACTAATGCTTTGTAAATGACTCGTGAATACTTTCTGATTCTACTTCCTCGGAAATTGTTCGCATGTGCCGGGGCGCTCGCTCTTTTTCCCACCGAGAAACGTCGAATGGCAATTCCATAGCGAGTCGGACTGAGAAATCTCGAGAAGCGGTTTCTCATCGGTGTGGACAAAAGTTTGATCACGATAAAAAATGGTGTAAATGTATAAAAGGTCGAAGATTCGAAGATTAGAAAAACTTTTGCCCATACCTGTACAGTTTTAATCCAACCTACAGTCTCCTTACATCAGCACCATCGTGCGTTAATAACACACTCGTGAAGAATGTCGACTCCATTTTCATCCGTTATCACCTATCAGACGAATCACAATTACTAGGGATCTAATTAAGACTATATTACAAAATATCGTGCCGCGATCGATAGAAAACGTTCGCGTGTTTTATACATAAATATAATAAGACTCGTTCGATTGAGCATTGAGTTTCAACGTGATTCCATAATTTTGTCTGAAACACGGGATCGATGATCTCCACGAAATGTGTAAATATGTTCGAAACAAGGAGATAGGGTTGCAAATATTTCAAACAGTTCAATCGATTTATCTAATTCAATTCTATACTTTCGAGCAAGTACATATGCTCCCGTTTTTTCTTCCTCGCTCTTCTTCTTCTAAATTCTTAAATTAGTTATAAAGAAGCAATAAATTATAAATCGACGAATCCTCTGAAGATGATATCTCTAACGAGCTGTACTCTTAACAAACATTTAGTTAGGCTATGGGTAATCGAGCCGTCGAGACTTTAGCCCAGCGAATCCACCGCAATGGTATTGAGACCTTTGGGACAGATGATCGTTTTGAATTGCTCCGGTATGGGATACTCCACCTGTAAAAATTATAAATAAAGTTTATTTAATGACAAAACTAGCAAAACACAATATGATATTCAATATTATCCACATATGTATATAGATATTAAATTTGCAGAAGATGCATATATTTTATTATTCTTCTGTGTTGAGTTTTCTATTCCAATTTTATAGAATTCTCATAATAACAATATTATTGCTTAAGATTGCTTATAGAACGGCTCGATATTCTGGCTGATAAAATTTGATTGAAATAATCTTACATAATCTCCATTTGCTCGAGGTATCATAACGTTCATCTCGCTAGACTTGCTGCTAATGAATTCCACATTTAGTGATTCTAGGTTCAAATACATCTGACAACCATCCGTTTTGTCAATTGAGATTGTGGGAACTTTTCCTAGTACCTGCAATCAGAAATGAAAGAAAGTTAGTTGATTACTATAATTCATTAACTGGAAAATTTAGTACTTATGTATACAATATTTTATATAAATTACACAATACCTGTGTAATTTGTATAACATAATAATAGTCATAATTTTAAACGTGTTCTTTGCTAAAAAATATTAAAATATTTAATATTTTTATTTGACATTCTTATGACAATCTGTTACTATTCTATTTTTACTTTTAAATATTTTACATTGAAACAATTTACTTTTTAATCACAAAGTAAATCAAAGAATTAAAATAATATATATTCAATTAAAGGAAAATTCAATGAATGATTTAATTATGTACACACGTTGAATATAAACTATCGATATTTACAAAACCAAGAAGCAACAATTGACGATCGCGGTTTCTTTCGCATTTCATGTAGCGTAGGTAGAAATAATAATAGGTAATCGAAACCGATGACATTTCGAAGCGTGTAGTTGAATTTTCACCTCACACTTAAACACAGCTTACTCCCCTCTCGTCAAAATGCATTGGCAATTCGGTAATGTTCTTCTCTTAGATTTTCCTATCTGACCGATCGTCGCAATTAAAAATTTAATATTCCAATCGAACGAAGCTGTTTCGTTGGTGAAACGCAGGAAATGCAAATCGTCGAACCTAATCCTTATCAATGTACACAGGCGGAAATCTCGAACCTGTGCAAATGATCTGCGAAGTTGACTGGAAGGAATGTCCGAAAGCAATAGCAAATTACATTTGGAGAGAGATCGTGACCGACGTGCTCGACAGCTTGAAGAATGAAAGCATAGTCTGGCGGGTACAGAGAGTTATTATTTTTGACTTGCAATGAATAACGAGTTAGAAGTGTATGAACATAGCGGTCAGGTAAGTTCTTGAAACTGACAAATAGACTACGGACTTTTATACATTTATAAAAAATAAAAAAGCAATATACGAAGTATACGAATTTCGTGGAGAAATAATTTTTTATTAAGCTTCTACTTTTTTTTTAGTTACCATACTCTTAACAAATATAAATCCGCATAAAAATCCGCAGTCTGCTGGTAAAACTTTTTATACCTGAACGCTATGTTCAAAAGGAATTTAAAACAAAAAGAAATTAAAAAAAAGAATTTAACTAATAAATACAGTTTGTTAATAGTGTTAACATTTGAAGGTACTGGCCGTAATATCTGTATGCGTCATACTACTACGTATAATATGTTTGAAAGGGAAACGTAGCAACGATACAAATATTGATAAAGAGATCCTTAATAAAGTCGGGTACAAAGTGGAAGATCTTGAACTGAAAGTTAATATATTAACGTATAAACTGCAGTATGGTGCTTGGCCTTTGCCCCATCAAGTTCAAAAGTCAAATTTTAGGAAGAACCTGAGGAACCTCAGGCTAACTCTTTCGAATCCAAATGATCGCAATAACTGGATAAAACATGTATTGCTAAGGTATTAAAGTGATTATAATATTGAAATAATTCCCATTAAAATTGAATCAAATTAATGTTACATTAATAATGAATCGACATTAAATTAACATTAAGTCAGTATTAAATTAAATTAGTTCATTTAAAATGAAAATCATATGAATAAGTTATTTATATTTGGAAAAATTAAACAATTTTCCCCATCTTCAGTTTTTTCCTTTTAATTATTTCCTTTTGGACGGAAATTTCGATTTCAGTGAATATTTATTTTTTTAATCTGTGAAGTTTTCTTATTAAAATCCATTATTTATTATTTCAGTCCTAGGCACAAGGAATCGTACTTTTCATATTCAAAGTATTATCCTTCGGAACATCATCTGACCGAATTGTTCGATGCAAAGAAAAAAAGCATGTACCCTTATCTCCGTCAAGAAAGCTTGCCAGTCGAATACAGCAGTAAATCCTCAAAAAGTAGCAGCGACATATCTCTAAAGTACAGTCATATGTCCAAATTATTATTCCAAACATATTATTGATGTAGAATTTAACCAATCTGCTCGCATGAATTTTCCATTTAAATCTAATTAAGTTGATTCAGTAATATTTGTACTTATTAAAAATCTATTGTTATCAATTTAGATTAATTGGAGATTAATAATAATGTGAAAATTTTAATCTAAAAATCTAGGAACAACTAAAATATATTCAATCAAATAAATTTTATTTTTAGACTAGATTCCATGTTCAAAAATGTGATCAACCGAAAGCATCACGAAGCATTCAGAAATAAAAATTTCCAAGTGCAATATCGAAACGCGATATCGGTTCCACTATTTTCGAAAAGAGGGTACACCAAGTCTAGGAAAAAATCAAGGAGAAACACGAAGAACACTGAAACTGTAAAAATGACCGCAGCTTGTAAGAAATTCACGAAAACTATGGACGATTGTAAAATGTATTTGAAACAATTGCACGATAGCAATAAAACTCTTGGACTGGTTTACAGCACGTCTGAGATTAGCAATGAATCCTCGACTAAAAATTTTTGGTCAGATACACAAGTAAGCGAACAAGAAATGAAGTTGAAAAAATTGTATGACATTACGAATAATCTGTAAATATGATAATATGATATTTAAATAATCTAAAATCATTTTAGAATTAAGACTTAATGATTCGATTACTTTATATTATAAATTACAGCAACAGAAATGTGTTCCAGTAAAAGATTCAATTGATCTAAGTAAAAGTCTGGAAAAAAGTAAAGTGAACGAATGTGAAAAAGAGGAAAATAAAGAAGAGGAGAAGCTTGAAAAAATTGATGAAAAGCAACGCAACAGCGAACAATGTTTGAAATTATCGAATGTGATTTATCCAGTTCTACAATTGATTGACAAAAGTTTACTGCCGCCAAAAATGAATATATCGTTTTGCACTGATATGTTTCCTCAACAATTGACCTCAGCAAAAATGTTGGTTCCAAGATCGTGTGAACGAAAGAGAAACTTGAAAATGTCTCAGGAGGCCTTGTACCAAGTGAAAAAAAAATTAGAAAGCTTGCATAATGTTCTGCGTATGTACGAGTTGCAAAACGTTGAAATAAAAGCATCGGAAAAACAACGAGAAAATAGCAGCAAGATAGACAGCGTTTGCCAAAATGTGACGGGCACGCTTGTCCCAGTTACAAAAGCCACTGATAATTGGAACAATAACAAAAATATCAAAATGGAATCCAACACTGGAAACAACGGCAAGGAAATTCAACGAACAACCTCCAACAGTTCTGAACAACATGAGAGTGATGAAACAGCCAGAAATTCCATAGTGTCCATTCAAAATTATTCAAATATGTTTAACGCATATCATGTAAATAATATAAATGATCCTTATCATTTGCTTGCAGAGAACCCTCAGTCAAAGATGTCACCTACAAATGATCAGATAATTCCAAATAATCAGGTGCATTATTTTTCTAGTATTAAGTATGAGAAAATACCTGAGAGAGTATATTACGCTATATCATCTGACTCATCCGAGAAACAGAAAGTTGTAAAGGAAACAGTGGTAGCAGAAAATCTCACACCAGATGTATACATCAACAGTAATCAAGCAAAGCCATTCAATCTCCCCGATCAATATCCAGTTCCAATGGAAACCGATGAGGATGCAATAATATCGCTAAACTCCAGTCGTACAGAAATATCAAAGGACAGTGAACTGGATGACAAATCGACAGCATTATTGCTTCAGGAAGCATTGCAATTCAAAAGAGCGTTGTTAACACGCGTTGAACTAGAAAAGATATGCTATATAGATGACAAAAAGGAAGAAACAAATAACGAATCTGTGTCATGTCAGGATAAATATCCTTATGTTAACAATAATCTGCAATCAAAGTTTTTGGACATTATATCAGAGGAACAATCTGTTAGTAGTTCCACTGAAAAAAATAGTAGAACTTATATGTTTCTCAATCTGAAACAAGACAAACAATTCAACGATGATGTATTAAAGCTCGCTCAAAGAAATGAAATTATAGACTTGGATACACACAAAAAATATTTAGACTCGAAGGACAATCTCGGTGCACCTTCTGAGTATTTTAGCTTTAACAATATAGTTCAGGAAGAAAGTGAAATTAAAAATAACCGGCTATCTTTGCCAAAACGTTTTCAGGAAAACGAGGGAAAAATAGTTTCAAATAATTCGCAGATAAAATATTTAAATGACACATTAGACAAGTCTGACGAAAAATTTGTGAATATTTTAAACACAACAGAAGTAAATGTGAACAAGCAAGAAACATGTTATGACTATATACATGGAAAGGAGAGCTTCAAGAAGCATTTCACACATAAGAATAATATAAATAAATTTATAGATAGCGTGGAATTGTTTTCGCAGGACTTGGACGAAGGTCCCTCAGCGAAGAAAGTTGAAAATTCGAACGAGGATATTGAATTTTTAGAACAATGTACCAACGTTACTAAAAGTACAGAAACTGATATGTCAAATGTAAAACTGAATATATTAAATGATGAAAAATACGATGAAAGATATGAAAATCAAGAAACTTTATCGTGCAATTCAAATTTAACTTTGAAAAGAAATCCTGGTGCGTGTTCGCTAATCGAACAAACGTTGTTACACGAAAACATAAATAAAACACTAGAAATGCATGGTATTATTGAAAATGGGGATCCGATATACGAATTAACATCGAGTGAGAGCAAAGAGACTTCAATTGGAACGAATTTAATACAGGATTCATTAACATCCAGCATAAATCAGTCCAATGATTCAAACATCCCGGAACCACCATCTATAACAGTATTAATCAATAAGTCATTAGATGAAGAAAAATTAGAATTAGACTGGCTGAACGTCAATAATGATTTCAGCGATAATGAAGAATTTAATGAAAAAGATGTAAAAACCTGTTCAACAAACACAATTACTCTTCAAAAATATGATACTGCAAATGCGATTAACTATAATAAAATTGATGTTAATTACAGTGAACATGATCAATTTCAGGATAAGGAGATTGATTCGATTACACAAAATTCATTTACAAACCTGAATAAAAAGGAATTGATAAACGAGATGGACTTTTATAAATCTTATTCCAATCTCGTTACTCCACATAGCAGTATGTATTTTACAGATGAAGCTTCAAGTTCTATTACAAAATTAAATAATACATACTCAAAAAATCTTAAAGGCCACGCACACTCTAATCTTCATACACAAAACAAGGAAAATAAATTATACAGCAAGCATGAAAATTTGAAAGATACTTCGAACGATACTAACAAACTGAAAGTCATGACCACTAATAAATCTTTTGTCACAATTTCAAATGAAAATTCGTCAGAACCCAAGAATAAAATATACAACAATAGTCATTCATTTTCTTCTAAAACCTACGGAGAAAATATTGATACAATTAAAGAAACAAAGGCTTTAAAAGAAGAAAAGAATTTGATTGATGAAATATTGTCTAATTTGACTACAAACGACATGCAAACGTTACAAATAGAAGAAACTACTATCTCGTCAAATTTATCTCCACGTCAAATTTTTCCAGGGGAAACGAAAGAAGCTAAAACGATGAAAACAACGAACACGACAACAAAATCGAGAAGTCACGAAAACTACACTTCAAAATCCGAAAAACTGAAAAGTACTAGAGCTTCAGAAAACTTAAAAGATTTAAGGTCCGATTTGTTGAACACTGCTCAAATCAAAGCAAAAGATAATGCAAGTATAAAATATCGAAAATTAAGAGACTTATCTGCAGAACCTAGACGCAATACAGGAGATAGTATTAAGTTAGATAGAAAACGATCCCGATCGCAAATAAGTTTTCGAACGAACGAGTCGCCGAGAGAAATTACACCGCGATCACATGAATGCCCAAGCAATACAAATTCTATAAATTATACTCAATCGTTGGAAACTAAGTCAAAATCAAAAGCTCCCCTGAAATCTTCATCGCCAACGCCAAAAACGTCTTCAAAATCTTGCATACCGATCTTGAAAAGTAGATTAGAAGCAGCTCGGAAGACTGAAAATGAATCACGACCTAAGAGTCCGATGAGAGGGCCGCTAACGATGACTATGTTCTGGAGGGATAATCTGTGTGACAAAAGTCAAAATGAGATGGACGAAATTCAGGTAGAAGGTAAATCAAGAAATAAAGACCCATGTGCAGAAGAAATAGATTCCTGTATAGAAAAAGCAAACGATGCTGGTAATCATAAACAAGATTCGACAAAAGTATCGCACATTGCACAAGGTATAAGTGAAAATCCCGACAGTAACATTACTTCTCAAGAACAAATGGTAATATATGTTAACATATTCACAAAACAAGACAACAATATGACAAAAATAGTGGATCCAAATAAATTTCTGGAATATATTAAAAATAGAAAATTAAGTGTGCAACAGCTAGAAGAAAATCAAACTAACAAAAAACATAATGAATTTCGAGGATTCTGTTCAAAAAATGAGAAGGATACGGTGCATAAAATTGTTACAGTCATTTCTTCCATTATAAATTGTAATGAGCTAGATCAGACTACGTCAACTAATTTGTCAGCATCAAAAACACAAAATGACTCGTTGTCGAGTATCTTATTAAATGGTAAATTAAAAAATTTATGTTTTTTATTCGTCGAACAAAAAGAGGTCGATGTAACTGCTAAACCTTCTGTTATCGATACAAGCACGTCTATATCAGATCTAGATAATGTTTCAAAAACAAAAAATGCAATAAACAAATTTCAAATATGTGGAACGCCTAAAGAATTAAATAACGAAGAATACATAATGTTATTAGAAATTCTTCAGCAAGAACAGAATTTTATACATCTACGAGAATTGCAAAATGTTTGTAAGAAGCTTGTATCGAAACATTAAAAAAAATCTAAATAAAATTAAATCACAAATAGTATCGTTTATCTATATTTATAAAATTCATCATTGATAATGACAATTATATTTTTGTAACATTACGCTTTTATATCTTAATATCGAACATGAATATCATGTAATTATATTGTGTGTATGTGTGTGTGTGTGTGTATATAAATATATACCCATTTGGAAATAAATGTATTTTTTACATGATGTGAGAAAGCATTAAATTTTATGCTATTGCAATTTTAATTTATAATGAGAATAAATAACGTACCTGCATTTGTACACTCTGACAATTAACGAATTCGATACTTGATACAACAGAATCGAAGACAACGGATGATTTGCGACACGAGTCCATAACGATGGAGTTAACTTTGCCTTTGATAACTAGAGTACTGTCTTGACATCGGAACATGTAGATTACGTTGTTCATCTCCACGTTATCAATAACTAAATCTTTATTACCTTTATGATATTCCTACAACAAAAGATGTTTTGTGAATACAGAATGAATTTCTAACAATATCATGTACTTACCACGAGCCATTTCTTCCCATCTCTAGTGAATACAGGAGGTTTATCAATTGGCGCATTTGCAGGCGGAATTGTTTTCGTTGGTACAGCATTATCAACAACAGGTGCTTTAAATGGTGCTGGCCCAGTTCTCAACGAAGGATTTTTGTGTGTTTGCATGTCTGATGTAACTTTCTTTAGGTCTGTAAAATCAATTTTTAAAATTTTATTATTTAATAATCTCACTATTTGGTAACTACATTATATTTACTCTTTGTAATAGCTTCTCCTTGATTAATTTCGGCGAAAAGAGCACTTCTGTCATCGCTAATATTTGCCGGTGCTACGTCTCCCATAGGAGGCATGCATGGTGGTGGAGGTGGTGGTATGCCTGCTGGCGCAGAGCCAGTTTTTGCCCATACAAGTCCTGTTGTATGATGCTGACGCACATATTGCTGCAAATCACTTAGTGTCTGTACCCAAGCCTTGCACCACTCAGCATGTACTTTATCTCTGTAGATATAAAAAAACTAAATGAATTCTGCATTAATTTCTGCATGAATTCTGCAGTAATTAATTTCTAGAAAACAAATTATTATATATAAAGGAACAATAGAAAAACATCTATAAAACATCGATTAACAATCTATAATGAAAACCTACTTCTCTTTCCATTCCTTTAATACACGATTTGTATAGAATTGCCCAGCATCATTCATTTCCTTTACATAAGGTGCTGGAGTAGGTGACACTGCAACCCATCCTAAAGCTGGAATACTTTCACTAATTGCTGATAAATGATTGAAAAATTGAGATCCTCTATTTTTCTCACGAAACTCCTGAATCTGTTGAATTTGTGTAGATGTAGGTGCAAGAAGAGAAATTTGTTCTGACTGGTTCGCCGGGATTGGGCGACTTGCTGCAGTCCGAATAAATTCCAGTTGGATCCTATTAAAAAAGTTTAATTTAATACTTAATAACATACGTGTAGAATTTAAAATACAGACATTATTAATAAAATACTTACCTGAATGCCTTTTCTACAAGCTTGCTGTGAGTAACTACATCACCGCCAATTTTTTCACTCAGTTGTAAATATTCTTTCACAGGACCAGCCAAAAGATCTTCATATCCTGCGACTGACATGCTGATAAATTTATCTTCTACTTTTTTCTCTGTTGAATGAGAAGGTGAGGCAGAGAGTACTGAGTCACTGTCTTTCACTGCTTGAGATCTCTTTGGCGATGGTGTGTTTGTTTGAACAGCAGAATCTTGAGTTTCAGTTACAGACTGACCTTTTACTTTTTCCAATCTTCTTGTAACTTTTTCCAATCTATTTACCAACTCTTCCAAATGTTCCTCCTTATCATTAGCTTCACAACCTTTAATTATAATACATTTTTATGTGTGTGAAACAGAAATGCTTTGATGTTGATAAAAGAAAATCATAAAACTTATTTTTCTCGTTCTGCATAAAGTGACTTTAAAAGACATGCAAAAAACTCAAATTTCGCCAAAATTTAATAACAAAATAGATATTTTTCATTGTAATTATACATCGTCGAATATTTGCAAATAAAATTGAAATGAAACAAAATTTTCAGTAATTGTAGAATATATACTCCAGAACGTTCGCATTTATACTGACTAAATTAAATATAGAATGAATATATAAATAGTTGCATTAACATCCACAGCCACTAGATTATTATGCTGCGAGCAACATGTAATGCCAGATATAAATCTATGGGTACTTAAAAATGTTCATATAAAACAAATTTACGATAACTATAATGTTACACCTAATAATTATGTTTGAAGAATCTATCACAATAAATTACATCAAACAGGGAACGGTAATCACACTGTAAATTTTAATTTGAAGTAAATTCGTATCATTCCAATTGCTATGAAAATTCATAAACTGTATAAATGTGAGATTAAGTAACTTGCTTTGGATTACACAATTTTTAAATTCATATAGTAAAACGTGACATAATGAGGAGATGAATCAATTTGTTATCATTGTTTTCGTAACTAAATACCATTCTAAATTATAAAGATTATAAAGACGTACTTGGCTTAATTATTCCTTTGCTTGATTAAAAATTATTCTTTTACAAAGAGAAACTTTCACGGACGAGATCCTCTAGCCTTTTCAGAAACGCTTGAAGAACTAAACCGCAGTCTTAATGATATTCAACGCGGGTGTGTTCGTCGCGACCTATTCTTAGGAAATCTGCGAAAATTGAATCACGCGTGGGTAGATACCATTCTATATGGAATCTCACGAGTTTCCAACTATTTAACAATTAAAAATATTCTGCATATCTATGTACACATCGTGTAAACACGCTTAAATACAAAATACTTTATAATTTACAGCTTATTTATTAATTAGTGAAATTAAGAAGTATACATTTTATTCGTATTTTATGTTTGCAATTAGAAGAAAATAAATTTTTCACGAGTGTCGTTCTAATTGTTTCATATAATTCTTTTTCTCTTCATAATGAAAACAATTCGTCAAATAATACACCAAAAGTTGAAAGGTAAACAGGTCGGAATGTAAAAATAGAGCGACTAATGACGAAACACTACACTATACAGTAAGAAAGAGAATAAAGTTCTGAGGTTGCCGCGTTCTTTGCCACAACTCGAAAACAAATGGTTTTATTGAAAAATATTTTTCGAGATAACACACTTGATAAATTACTACCTATGGTATTCTAATTTTGACAGAAATATAAAAACATTTCGTTAATTCAATATTCAGAAAAATTCATTCTATGAAATATATTACTTCAATAAATAGATTTCAAAGCATAAGAAATATCACAATATTAAAAAAAAAAAAAAAATAACGTGGATTTTAGATTACTAAACTTTGGCAAATTAAAGTTAAAAAGATCACATGAAATATTTTTCTATGATCTCAAATATATTTTGCAAAATATTTGCCACTCATACGCTCATTCATACAACAAAGTTAACTTATACAACGAAATTAATTGATCAAGTAAAATAAATCGGTTCAATCATACGTGGTATTTTTAAATCAGTAAATGAAACCGAACAGAAGGTTTTTAGAAAGGTAAGAAATGAATTTAGGATGAGCCCTAACCGGTATGCACCATCGGTCCTAGGGGGTCGAACCTCACTCTGTGTTCTGTCGCGTTTTGCGCGGCGTGTAATAAATCGGAGAAGAATCTGTGACGTCTTAAAGCTAGTTCATCGCGAGCAACCGGCGTCGCCGGTGGTTCCTGCATTCCGCTACATTCTTCTGAATCGTGCTCGCCATCTTCTTCCTCCGAAAGCCACCGAGGAATTGACGGAACTGCGCATCGTACATCCCAATATAGACATCTCATCTATCTATAGTGGCTCACGAAAGTATTTGAACACTCAAAGAAACTTTTTACGAATGTAATATGTGTATTATATGACACACCTTGAAATTTCATTAACAGCATAATGGAACACTCCGATAAAATTTGAAGTGAATTAAAAATATCATCTCTGGCATTAAGTATAAAGCCAGAGAAGTTTAAGTGTATGTCGCTGTTCATACTGTGTATATTAATTTTTGAAAAAGTATATGCTTGTATTAAATGTTTTGTAACTTCTATATACATCCCCGGATTTGGTTTCAAGTTTTGAATGTTCTTCATATAACACAGATAATATACTTATAATAATTTCGTGAGTCACTGTAAATATCTATCATTCAATATATGCAATTTCCTCATTCATAATTCAGAACAATTTAATACTTTTCATTTTCATAATGACATTCGTTGTCTCCAAGTCGTTTATAAAGTCGCCTAATATGAAGAAAATTATGACATGGAATACTCGTTTTGCACAAATTTATATTCTTCTGATGTACACGGTGAACAATAGATTCAATGCACGAAGATTTCAGGGCTGAGACGAGATAGATTTTGTATCTCCAATGTGCTAAAAAAAAGAATTGAAAAAATATCATAAGTTCTCCTTATCTACGAATTTGCATAATTTTTGTTTTCAATTTAGTATGGATACTGACTCTTTTTACTCTGTTTTCCGGTAGATTGTAAAAGAAGAGATATTGTAGTCTTAAAACATGAAAAAAAATTTTTTAAAAAAATGCTTCTGATCAAGCTGTTTTTAAAAAATAAATCCCATATTAAGCGACTTTATCCTAATTAATGAAAAATTGCTTCTATGAATTTGCTATTTGATGCTGTTATTAACAATGTAAATTATATTTCAAAAATTTGACAACGAAATGAATCATAAAATGAGCAAATCGCATGTTTGAAGATATTGGTAAAAATTTTTAGCTTCGCTTTCAATTCATCTATTAGCTAATTTTCAATCAATGACGAAATATGAGATACAATTACTATTTCAATCTCTCTTTTCAATGAGAAAGAAGTTTGGCAATTTTTGCCTTATTGAAGTGAATTCGATCATCATCACATTTTTTGCAAATTGCTTTCTACGTTTTTCATATCTCGAGCAAATCTTTATAACATTTCGTTATTATTATTATTAAACGAAATGTTAATATTATTAAATTCGCTATTATCTATTAAACGAAACTAAAAATGTCCGTTTCTTTTTTCTTTTTTACCATTTTCCTTTTGCCAAAGAAAAAACTCCGCAATAAAGATATACCTGGCGGCTTTTCGGTCGCGTTGGTATCGTTCGGACAGGCTTCGAAAACGGAATCATCGCCTTCCTCCTCGGGTCCGTCATCGATCGTTCTCTCGATATACGCGGAAGAGTCGTAAAGATTAATTTTAACGGCGCTGGGAACCCCGGAATTCAGCATTGCCTCCACCACTCCTCCTCCACCTTTGCCACCCCCGTTATCGTTTCCGCTTACATTGTCACTTTCCTCCGCCGTCCTGTTCCCATTAGCATCCTCACTTCCGTTCACCTCGCCGCTACTCTTCTCCAGTTTCGCTCGACCGCTCCCACTTCCGATATCGTTCTCATTGTCACCCCCCTTGTCGTCGTTCGATCCCGCTGTCAATTCGGCGGCCTGCGATCGAGAATTGTCGTTCACCTCGTCGCGCTTTCCAGCAGGCAACGGACTCTTAACGGTCAGGTCGTCGACCACTTCCGTACCACCGTCTTTCTCCATCGACGGGGAAGAAACTTTCTCAAATCTCTGCACGTCGCCGTTCAACTTCTCCTCCCGTCCGATCGGCCCGTTCTCCTCGAGCTTCGTGCAATCGATGCCAACTAACTGCGAGTCGGCAGCCTTCTGATTCTGCTGCTTTGGCGTCAACTTCGCCACCTCGCCGTTCGGCTTCTCCTTCTTTGAGCTTTTGTTGCACACACAGCATTTAAACATCGTCGATATCGATTATGGATTTCCGTTTTGTCAGCAATAAACGCTTTCGGCGGCTTTCAACCGAAACTTTCAAACGCTTTCAAAACTGATAGGCCTCTCCGGTGTGTCACGCGGCCTTTATCGCCGAGCCGGTATCGTCTTGCATCGATACTATTGATCCAATAGTAGTTCGGAACCAACTGATTCGAAAGGCTCGATAAAATTGATCGATACGTGTTTCGTACGTGTCAACGAGAGAATATACAAGAGAATATACAAGAAGCTCGGGCAACTTCGTAACAATGTAAAATATTGACTGTTAATTCGGAATTTCGTGTTTCTCTCTCTCTCTTTTTTTTTTAATTTTAGTTTTAGTGTCAATTAGAATATGTAACAGTTATAGATAGAAAACAGCGTAAACGGTTCTTAAAATGTAACGATTGGAATAGTCAGATCAGAAGATAATAACAACGAATAGAAGAATATTTCAATATTTAGGCGCTCAAGTTCAACGCTGACCCCTCACAGCCGTACAGTATAAAACTGGTGCTTGAATATTTTAGTTCTGCTGGCTCTTTCAAACCAAGCAACCGAATATGTCGTTTCAACCGGATTTCCCACGGGAATCATACACTACAAATTGTTAGGCGTGTATAACCCGGTATAAATTACATATCTTCACAGCCGGTTTATGCGTTTACGGAATGTAGATCCGTCAATATCGTACGCAATTAAGTACCGAAATCTTTAAGTACGAAGATGCGTAATAAGATCAATAATTAACACATTATTTCCTCTCTTTACAGAAATTACTAGGCAATAGATAGTCTGATTAACAATCAACGTATATCGTCAATGTAACAAAGATAATATATTTATTTAAGTTTTATCAAACCTAATCTAACGTTTCAACGACTCAAAAATCTCCATTTTATCGTTTGCAAACAACAGCTTCTAGGAACACTTTCGTAACGCTTTTGCAAGAAGTATATAAAGACACTTGCAACGAAATTACAACACTTGAGGATTCGTACGTGAACGAGATCTATAGCGTATATTTTCCCCGCGAATTTCCCTTGATGGCGCGATGATCGATCCCAACAACGCCCAGGTTTACGTTTTCGAGATCAGTGTAACAGATGTAAAAATGGACGTTGCACGTCCATCTAATGTAAATATGTAAAAAGACGATTGTAAAATTTTCAAATATTTTGGAAGACTAAATGGTACCTTTAGATGCGATTTCCGGTCGCGAGAAATACGAGAAAGAAAGAAATTTCCCTTTAGAACAAGGACATATATAATTTATCTGGCAGTAGTTATTCTTCTAAGTGTGACCTGTATTTGTGTTTTTCGTAATGAAAGAGGATGAAAAAGACTCGAAAAATCCGATAAGCAGCGGTAAAAGGTTGAACAGACACGTATATCGTCACAAGCACATGTCTTTTCAATGCACGCTCGGTCGCCCGAAGAAATTTGCATACATTTATCTGCAATGAATCACGGTTACAAATTGAGCTATATAGAATGTAATTAAAGACGTAAATTAATGTATGCACGAGATTATGGCATTAATACACCGATACAGGGCGAATCTTCACTTAAAAATTTGTGCAGTACGTCTTTCAGATTACCAACTCTTTTAACCCATCGAGTTAACATTAGATGCGTTTATTAATAATAAAAACAAAATTGCTTCAGCCTTCGGAACACCGCCCAGGTATTTAAAAAGTGATGACTGCTCTAAATCACTTCCAGATATTCCAGAGTTATTGACACTTGAACAAAAGATGAGCCCGAGTTGCACATTACGAGTGAAAATGTCGAATTAATTCACAAAATCTGTAAGGGTGGAGTGTCTACCCTCTCGAAAAACAGTCTACTTTGGAAGCAGCCGGCGCAATGCTCCACTGCTTTAGGTTTCGACCGGCACTCTGCGGTGCTGCCGCAGGGTGGACGAGACCCGAAATTGTTACAAGTTCCTTAGATAAAGAGCCACGTGCAGTGCAGGACTTTCGAGAGTCAATTTCATTTCTAACAGGACCAGAGTCAAACTTTAGCCGTAACTGTACTTCGCAGCAACTAAAAAGGCAACGGATTACTAATTCGATTTGAAAGTATGATACAACATAATATTCATGTATAAAATTTTACTAATAACATAAAAATGTATTAAAAGCATACGTGTGCCAGATATAATAACCCGTAGAATGTTTCTCACGAATAAGTCGGAAAGGATGATCAAATAGACCAAGCAAATAATTGAGAATGACTCACAATCACATACATTATATTTCCGGCACATCTACGAACGTAGTTTATCGTACTTTGTTTTATTATAAATAACTCGCGCTGATAGCGATAAATCTTATCTAGATAAAAGCTGAAATATTATTTTATAAATTATGTTCTACGTGATTCATATTCAATGTGAATTCGACTATCATATATTGTGAATCATCACAGGTTTGCGAGAATATTATGTGACAATCAATGTAAGAATAAATGATAAAATATTAATCATTATTCTCTATAAATGAATACATACTTAAAATTTCTGCAGTATTCGATTGTATTATAATTGTAACAACAGCTTTATAATCATCTTTTGCATCTACATACAATTTACTTGCAACAAGCTACAAAATTATAATTAGTTAATGTTGATTATTATAATGTAAAACAATATAACGTTGATAATTTGTTAAATTTTCATAAAATCAGATATTGAATATTATATACAGAAGTATAATGAATAGAATTTATGGAAGAATTTTAACTTATACTCACGATTTTGCCACATATTTAAAACTTTTTTATAAGCGCCTGGAACCATTCGGGAATTATCTTCTACTACTTCGTCAAGATTGGGCATTTCGAAATAAATCGTTTTCAATAAGCACGCAAATGATTGTTTAAAAGAGAGAGATATTAATAGACAAAACGTAAAAACCTCATGCATTCGATGACTAAATAATGAATGACGATAACGGACTCAGTTCGTCAGCTTTCACGATGGAATTTTAATCTTGCGTTAGAATCACAGGACCGTATCGTGTAACCAACCTAATAGTACAAAATCTTAATAATGAATATTTTAATAATTATCAAAAAAACCCGAAAAATACCTTTAAATAAATATAATAAAAAACATTTTTTTATATAAATTTATATACTTCTATCTAGCATTAAATTGAATAATTTCATACCTTAAATACAACAAATAAATCCTTATTTGGGCATCAAGTTTCAAATATTATTGGCAATTTTTAAATTGCACGTCTCAATTTCTGCAGCGGAAGCGAAACAATTGAATTAAAGCGTACCATTTAATAAGATTATAGCTTCCCAATTGTGTAGCTTTAAAATACGTTACCAGGTGTAAAGTGTCAGGTGCAGCAGCATAGTATGACTCACAATCGAAACACAGCAGGGGAAATATACACACAAGTCTAACCATGTTCATAACCAAACCAGACGTACTTTCGTTTCTTTCATCGAAGAAATAATTCCAATTCGACTCATTAGACGTATGATATATCACGTTTTTCAAGTACACATATATATTTACATTTATATGTAAATTAAATTTAAGTACAAATAACGTAAACTGCAGAGCCTCTCGTAAATAGTAAAATGTTTTCAGCGCAGTTAATACATATCTAGTGGCAGTGAAATGTTCCAGAGTAAATATAAATAAAATAATGCAAATTTACTTACCAATACAGAGTCTCAGTGAAATCCAGCAATACGCATACTATACTTTTGACAATTGACTTGATAACAACACAACAAACACGATACACAAGTAGCGAGAATTCAATCTGACAACATTACTACATACACTGGGGCGTTTGCCGGATACCGGAAGTGCTACTCTTACTATTGCGCGAGCTTTGGAATCACACATGCGCCCACGTTCAAATATTATCTGCAAAGGAAATTTATTCTAATGCCGCATTATTAATTTGAAACTATATACTAACAAGACAAAGAAACAGAAATTTCGTTATACGTTACACGTTCGATAGATTTGGCACATTGTCAAAGTAATTTTAAATTTATTTCTGTACATTCTAACTCATCGAAATTAAAATTGTAACAAAATGCAAATGAAGCTTCCTATGATGTAAATTTTAAAACTTGTGCATCAAATAATTATTTTAAAATAACATTCCGCATTGGCATGTATGTATGTGCGCATATATCAGTGCTGCCACCTGGTTTTTACTTAGTTCTTCGAAAGAAGTAACTGCAGTTATTGCTATTCAGTCATAATTAGTTTTATCTAATATTTTATTAACAATATTTATTATTAAAAAAATTAAATTAAAGATTTATAATTAAAGATTTCGTAATACTTTGCAATACCAATTTACTTTCAAAATTCAATTATTGATGTTATTCTTTCTTGTAATTATTTAATGAAAGTGATAAGGATTTAAGGTCTACATTTTATTATAATCATTTTGCATAAATATTTTAATGAAAAGTGATATAAAGTATCATTTATTAAAGTGATTGAGTTGCGTTAAAAGTTATACAGAAAATAAAAACAGGGTATACAAAAATATCATACAACCAAAAATATGACCACAAAATTTCTATTTATTGAACCAATGAATATTTTAAGTATAATACCTCAGTATCATATATTGCTCGAAGCATTCTTAATAATGTGGCTCACTTGGTTTATTAGTAAAAAATATTACAGCCAAGACAGAATGCTAGCTGAAGATGAAGTAGAAAAAAAACTTGCTGAGTGGAATCCTGAACCTTTAATAAATAATCCGCAAATGAATCATATATCTTTAAATCCAAGACGTATAACGTCCAGAGCTGGTAAAAAAATAGTGGTAGATGGAAAAGATTGTTTGAATTTAGGCACGCACAATTATCTAGGATTAACTGAAAATAATGAAATAGAAAAAAATGCAATAGCAGCAATAAGAAAATACGGAGTAGGCTCTTGTGGGCCACGTGGATTTTATGGTACTGTTGATGTTCATCTTGAATTGGAAGAACGTTTAGCAAATTACACAGATACAGAAGAAGCAGTTGTATATTCATATGGATTTAGTACAATTTCCTCTGCAATTGCAGCTTATTGCAAGCGCAGGGATCTTGTATTTGTCGATGAACAAGTAAATTTTGCTATACAAAAAGGATTAGATGCATCTAAAACTAATATTATTTATTTTAAACATAATGACGCAAATGATCTTCAGAATTTATTAATGAAACAAGCAAAAATTGATGAACAGAATCCTAAAAAAGCAGCTAAAATCAAACGCTTCCTAATAATTGAAGGTATTTATATGAATACTGGAAATATCTGTCCATTACCAGAATTGGTTGCACTTTGTAGACAATATAAATTAAGAATATTTATTGATGAGTCAATATCATTTGGAACTCTTGGTGAACATGGGAAAGGCATCACTGAACACTTTGGTGTTCCTAGACAGGAAATTGATATGATTATGGGTAAATAATGTTATTGAATTATGATTAATGAATCTTAATCTTTGGTATTTATATTGTATTTGCATTACGTTCAGGTTCTCTGGATTGGGCAATAGGATCTATTGGAGGTTTCTGCGTAGGTACATCATTTATTATTGAACACCAACGCTTATCTGGGCTTGGATATTGCTTTTCTGCATCTTTACCACCTCTTTTAACAACTGCAGCTATTACTTCTTTAGACATTATGAAAAATAATCCGCAAATATTTAAATCATTAAGGGATAATTGCATAGCTATAAATCAGGGACTTCAAAACATTCATTGCCTGGAATGTTCAAGTTTCCCAGAATCCCCAGTAAAACATGTATATTTAAAGAATAAAAAAGATCGTGCTGCAGAAGAACAATTGCTTTCTAAGATTTCTAATAGATGTATTGAAAACAATTTAGCAATTATAACTCCTGTCTATTTAGAAGCGGAGAAAAATTTGCCTAGGCCTAGTCTTAGGCTTTGTATTTCTACACTTCTCAACAAAAGTGATATCGATTTTGCAATGAATGTATTGAAAAAATGTGCTGAAGAAGTCCTTATGAGTATAAATTAGAGTGAAATAAATTCCAAATCAATGTTTTAAAATTAATATATATTTTTATTTTCCACTCTATAGTTATTTAGTTATATAGTATGCAATTAAAAAAAGATTTCTTATTGATTATATTGCAAAGTATTTTTCTTTCCTACAAACTTCATGTTTTACTTAATATTGTGCCATCTTCATATTGTGATAAACATTTTATAAGATTAATTAAATATATTATAAAGATTAACTTAAAATCAATTTTGGATTAAGTAGAGATTATATTTGTAATTTTAAATAAATAAATAAATATGAAATACAATATGATCTTTTTATTAATCGTTTCATACTATAATAATTCAACAAATATATTGAAATATATAATTTATAAAAATATTAAGACAATAGTTATACTTAAGATTTAAAATATTTAATTAAAACTTAAAAATTTTAATTAAACTAATAACTTATGTTTCAAGTTTAAATAATAATAGTTTTCAATTTTATTCGTATCTCTACGTAATAAATTTTAATGCAATATGTATAACAAATTTTAATGTATTTTTATCTAGTTTTAACTATTTTTATATAAATCTCGAAAACAACATTAAATTTATTATTTTTGTATAATTTTGTTTCTTTGGGCATTTTTTTCAAATTTTTTAAATTTTCGCGCTTAATAAGAAGACGTATCCGTTAAGATATAGTTTGCGTCAGAGAACTTCCTCCTCCTTCTATGCAGCAGCTGTAAACTTTGCCGAGGTAAGAGAAATTGTTTCTTGCTATTTTTGTAAGAAAATAACTGCTTATTTATTTTTTATTTATAGAAATCAGTGTATAGTACTAATTACCTCGTATCACACTAATAAAATGCAAAAAATATAAAATATTTATGATTATTTAAGTTAAAATGTGTACGTGCCATGTGGTCACATAACCATAATTTTTTTTAACAATATATGATTAATTATGTTGAATTTTTACACAAATAATATTTATCTTTTATAAATATTTATGAAATTAATAAAATATATAAAACAAATGAAGAAATAAAAAAAATAATATGATGATAAAACAAAACGTCTGATAATCTGAGAACTACACAGAAGCTAGAAATAGCAGAACCCATCTGTGTACGGATTATAAGATTATACATTACACGAATGTGTCGTCTGATTTGAATCTTTATAAAAATGTCTTGCAACAATAATAGTAAAGTATATATTTAAGTAAGTTTCTTTTATTTTTAGTCCTTAAACGTTCCCTATACACACTTCAAGATGGGTAGGGAGGACAAGGCAACGTGGAAGTCCAATTATTTTACAAAACTTGTTGTAAGTATTCGAGATATTTTATTGAGGTATTTTAATTAAAATATTTAGGTCATTTCTATACTCTATATATCTTTATATAGCAACTATTGGATGATTATCCAAAATGTTTTATTGTGGGTGCTGACAATGTTGGCTCTAAACAAATGCAACAAATCCGTATGTCTCTTCGTGGAAATGCTGTTGTATTAATGGGAAAAAACACTATGATGAGGAAAGCTATTCGCGGTCATATTGAACGTAATGCTGCCCTTGAAAAACTTCTTCCACATATTCGTGGAAACGTTGGTTTTGTTTTTACACGTGGAGACTTAATTGAAGTAAGAGATAAACTATTGGAAAACAAAGTCAGAGCACCAGCTAGAGCAGGTGCTATTGCACCATTAAGTGTAATTATCCCTGCACAAAACACTGGTCTTGGTCCTGAAAAAACATCATTCTTCCAAGCTTTGAGCATTCCTACCAAGATTTCTAAGGGTACTATTGAAATTATTGTAAGCATATAATTACAATACAATTTAAATGAATATCTTTTCATCTGAGGAAAAGATTAATATTTATTCTATTATATTTTAGAATGATGTACATATTTTAAAACCAGGGGATAAAGTAGGTGCATCTGAAGCCACTCTTTTAAATATGTTGAACATCTCTCCATTTTCATATGGTTTACTTGTTGAACAAGTCTATGATTCAGGTACTATTTTTGCACCTGAAATTTTAGATATCAAACCAGAAGATCTACGTGAAAAATTTATGGCTGGAGTGGCAAATTTGGCTGCAGTATGTTTAGCTATTGGCTATCCTACAATAGCTAGTGCACCTCATAGTATTGCTAATGGATTCAAAAATCTGTTGGCAATTGCTGCTGTGACGGATGTTGAATTCGCAGAAGCAGCTACAATTAAGGAATATATCAAAGTATGTTATATTCATGTGTTTCCTTATTGCTCATTGATACAAAACTTATATAAATATTGAAGGATTTTTCCAAGAATTTTGTATAATTGGTGTCAGAGCCAAAAATAGTGTAACTCATTCACACTTGATGATTCTTGTTAAAAAATGCGTTAAAAGCAATTTGACAACATACTCTAGTTTTTAATATATATATATACATAATTATTAAAGCTTATTTGATATTGTTTAATATTTTTTATAGGATCCAAGTAAATTTGCCGCTGCTGTTACTGTTTCTGCACCAACTGCTACTGCTGCTGCTGCAGAAGCACCAGCTGCAGAGAAGAAAGAAGAAAAGAAACAAGAATCTGAATCAGAAGATGAAGATATGGGATTCGGTTTATTTGACTAAAATACAGGTGTACATACATATATATGTATGTATTATTATACATAACTAATCATGTATTTTAATAAATTAAAACTTCAAGAAAGATTCATAACAAACATAGTATATTAATTTAATCAATCCTTTTATTTGCTTATCTTCACATTTATGTCGACAATAAAAATGAATATTGCATCATTTAGATCTCTAAATAATTAGAAATTTAAAAAATTAATCAGTTAAAGTAGCATGATGTACGTGATAATTTAAAAAATATATTTTACTAAAATAATTACTTAATATTTATTTATATATCGTTTACACTTGATTAAAATTAATAAAACGGTTAAAATTGTATAAATTTATATACAAAGAAATAATCAATGTCTGTTTATCGGATTTTTTATCTATATATATATATGTAGAAGCAATTAATATTTAACCCTGACATTCCTATGGGTAGGTCACTAAGGCTCGCAAGTTTTGATGCGATAACAAAGCTATATACAGTAAAAACATCAGTTTTACCGGCACATTAAGGAAAAAAGTATAACATTGAAAACGTAAGAAAAAGATGCATAAAAAATGCAAACAAATTATATTTGGATTCAAGTTTATTTTTATTTATGCCGTACATAAAAAAAGCAATCTTATGTAATAAATAACATTTCAAGTTTATTTACTTAGAGTATCGTTTATCAACAGTTATATTATTTTATTTCGCATTAGTGTGGTCCGCGTTTGTAGAGAAAAGTTACGTGATATAACATAAGGCATAAGATACATACAGAACTATAATCTATCTATAAGTATGACCACATAGAGCGTATATTAGTAAATTCTTTGTAAGTACATACGAACTACAATTGACCCGGCTACCGGATTCCATGTTCTGTATTCCAAGGGTTAATCTGTTTTAATTATGTAAGTGAATCATCTAGACTAACCAGGGAAATGTTATATTAGATCTGTCAAATGTATGATATATTGTTGCATGAAGAAAACAATCATTACACTACGATTACCTAAGTTTTATCAACACAAAGATGAATTGACAATATTTTAAACTGATATCTCCAAGTGTTTCTGGTCACAACGTTGTGGTAGGAGGGTATGATCACCTTGTAGTTATATATCATTAAAGTGACGGGATAGTCGTAAAAGACTGTAGTTAATTCTCAAAGCGTCAGCGTGGTATATCTTATTTTATTGCAGAACCTCTGCGTTTTCTTGAACGTGGAAGTTAAAGATTATATCTCGATACAAGTCGGAAGAAATCGGATTCACTCAATTTTGCGCAAAATTTTGTTTCGAGTGTCAAATTTAAATAGAAAAAAAGCCTATATTAATTAACCTGCACAATTATGGGATTATTGTCCGAAGGAAGCCCTTTAAGCTGGGAAGAAACGAAAAATCTCGCTGATCATGTACGAAAGCATGGGATTATTCAATTTATTAACCTATACAAAAGGCTCAGGGATCGCCAGGGTGATATACTCAAATGGGGTGATGAGGTAATATTTATTTTTTAACTTTTCTAAATTATGTGACATTCATCGACAGACATACATCGCAATGCCATGGAATAATATACATGTTAAAAAATTAGAAAGTACATTGTCTTCTTTTCACATATTTCACGTTTCAATAATAGAAACAAGAAATTGTGTAATATTTCCTATTATGAACACACGTTAACTTCCAAAGAAGAAAAATTTCAGTTTTACTGATAAATTATTACTTTCAGTTTTTAATAAAGTGGGATAATTATAATCATTTCATATGCAATTATAAAACTGTAGTTAAATGAAAAAATTGTATTGCAATCTTAATCTATTATCTAATTGTTACTTGTGTATTATTTTTGTTTGTTCGAATTTTTATAACATTCTTATAAAATCAATTATTGGGAAAATAATGAATAAATGTCACAGTTGTAGTTATTGAAGTTGTAGCAATTGCAAGGTATGACCTTGAGTTTTCTCTATTGCATTCCAGTTCAAATCTATGAGTCAACACTTTTTGCTCTAACATTTTATTGATATGCCACTCAACTATGTATTACAAAACTAACATATTTCTTAAGCTTATTCTTATCACTGGCTATTTTTATATATAAATGATATTAATGTTCTAAATAGGTTGAATATATGCTTGTTAAATTTGATGATGAAGCAAAAACTGCAAAACTTAGTTTAAGAGCTGCAGAAATATTAAAAACTTTAAATGAAAAAGAATATAATGATCCAGAGTAAGTATCTTATTTTTTGTTTTTTTTTTAAATTTATGTTTATACAAATTACACATACCAAAGAAATATATTTGAAGTCCACTATATTGAAACAATACAATGACTAATATTTTAGCAATAATTTAATTATATTTTTAATGAAACAGTATGATACATTCAAATACTTTGTTTCACAGCAATATTAAATCATTATGGAGACCTGAATATGGTGCTTATATGTTAGAAGGAACACCAGGAAAACCATATGGTGGCTTATTAGTTCATTTTAATGTTGTTGAAGCTAATATGAAGTACAGGAGACAAGAAGCTTCAAAATTACTGGAACCCAATGAAGTTTTAATGTCTTTAACTAATTTTCCTAGGTATGTTAGTACTTTTATCATAATTTTTTACATTCAATATGTGTGACGAATATTATTAATTTAAATATTCTCTTACAGAACAGGAGCGCATGATTTCACAGATCCTCCTACACACCCCACTCCAAACTCTGGGTCTTCGAAAAGTTTATTTTTCCCAGATGAAGCTATATATCCAGGACATCCACGATTTAAAACATTGACAAGAAATATAAGACAACGACGGGGAGAAAAAGTTGCTATAAACATTCCTAGTATGTATTTACTGCATTTATTAATTACATATGTATATTTTTTTATAAATAAAAAGATTCAGTTAGATCTTAACATAAAGTATTTCTTTGCAGTTTATAAAGATAAAAATGTGCCAAATCCTTTTAAGGAGGATTTTGGTCCTTTAATTAAAAATGAATCTAGTTGTGCAGCAAAAGAAGATCACATTTACATGGATGCTATGGGTTTTGGAATGGGTTGTTGTTGTTTACAACTTACTTTTCAAGCTTGTAACATAGAAGAAGCAAGGACATTATATGACCAGTTAACACCTTTATGTCCAATAATGGTCAGTAATATGTAAAAATGTAATTGTATTTTTATAAGTTCTGAAGGCATGGAGTTGTTAGCATATTCTTTCGCGCATACGTTACAGAACATTTATTTAACATTCGACAGTTGGCTCTAACTGCTGCTAGTCCATTTTACCGAGGATATATAAGTGACGTTGATTGTCGATGGAACGTGATTTCTTGTTCTGTAGACTGCAGAACGCAAGAGGAACGTGGCTTAAAGCCTTTAAATGAAAACAAATTCAGAATTAGTAAATCTAGATATGATTCTATTGATTCATATCTTAGTGAACAAGGAGAAAAATACAACGATGTCCCATTAACATATGATGACGAAGTATATAAACAACTTACAGATAATGGAATTGATAAATTACTTGCACAACATATAGCTCATTTATTTATTAGAGATACTGTTTCTTTATTTTCTGAAAAAATACATCAGAATGATTTGGAGGATACTGATCACTTTGAAGTAATTAACGTTATTATTATTAATTGAATTTAACTATAAAATATAAGTCTATATGATAAAAATATAAATATATATGATTATAAAATTTCAGAACATACAATCAACTAACTGGCAAACCATGCGATTTAAACCACCACCACCAAATTCATCTATAGGATGGCGCGTTGAATTTCGTCCATGTGAAGTTCAAATAACAGATTTTGAAAATGCTGCAATAGTTTGCTTTATTGTTCTTCTTACAAGAGTTATTTTAAGCTATAAACTAAATCTTCTGATACCAATTAGCAAAGTTGATAAAAATATGGCTCGAGCACAAAGAAGAAATGCAGTTATAGCAGAAAAATTTTGGTTTCGTCGAGATATTACATCAGACGTAAAAAAACAAGATGATGGACAACCAGAGTGTACAGAATTTACTGTTAATGAAATTATCAATGGAAAGGTATTGATATTTTATTTTTGAATGAAATTGATTAACAAATTTCAGATATGTTCTATAATATATTATTTTGTACTAGGATGGCGTCTTTCCGGGTTTAATACCCTTAGTAAATTCGTACTTAGCTAGCATGGATGTAGATGCGGATACACATTGTACTGTACAAGCATATATGAAACTAATACAAAAAAGAGCTTCTGGAGAATTATTAACTACTGCTGCATGGTTAAGGAAGGAAGTTGTTTCACACTCAGAGTACAAGTATGTATCGTTTATATATATATACACATATATGAAAATGTTTATTATATTTTTAATTCTACATTACATTAATATAGAAACGATTCTGTAATAACACAACGTATCAACTATGACTTACTAAAAAAAGTACAAAAGATTGTATCTAATGAAATATCATGTCCAGAATTACTTGGAACGTGTATATCATCCAAAACTAATGAAACTATACCTGCAGCGGTTGCAAAAGCAGAAAAGGTCCCCATGTGAATTATTGTTAATGGCAATGACTTAATATGCTTAAATAGATATAGATATAATATAGATACACAATGACTTAAGTAGATCACAATTAATTTAGATTTAATTTTTGTTTATTTTAATACTTCAGATCTTGTACATATTTAAAATTTAGAATCTTATGTATTCATGTGCCCAATGATTACATGTTTTCTAAAAATAATAACATTCCATAAAATAATATTGTTCTCCGGCATATTAAAAATATGCGCATTTGTAAAAATTTTTGCAATAGCAGTTTGATTATAAGAGGAACAATTTTAATATAAATATACAATGTAAATTATGATGTTCATACCGTTAAATATAAATAACAACTACTAAATTACAATAAAACGCGTGCTATGTACATCAATTTTAGGAAATATACAAATAAGAAAGTTTCCTTTGAGGTCAAATGTACTTTATAATATTGTAAAAACGTTTGATAACTTATAACAAAAAATTTTTGGGATCTACATTATCTATGATACTATTGTTGTTTTATGTTACAATACTATATTGTTTATTTAATGATAAATACTATGTAGCTCTTCCCAAAAATTAAATTTTATTATTGAACAAAATAACTTAAAGCATAAAATTGAATAGTATTAACATTTGTATTTAAAAAAATATATGTTTATAAATTTTTATTTATTTTATATGCCTATTTTTATTTTCCTAAACTTGTCCTATAAGAAATATAAGTATTCCATAGTACTGCTACTGACTGTACTACTAAAACTTGATATTGTAAAGGTACAAAATAAAAATTGAATAGTTGCACCATAGGCCACAGCTGAAAAAATTTTCAAATGAAGTTTCTTATGAAAATTTATATTCTAATATTTTCAAACGTGTCATTAGTGTTATTGTTTCACCTTGTAATTATTCTTTAAAATATCTGGATATTCATTGTACAATTTCTTTTTTAATTGTTCTAAATCATTTCCTTGTAAAATACCAATTGCTGATAGTAAAACTATTAGAAATACAGGTGCAAAAAGCAATTGATCGCAAGACACTTTCTTTAATACCACAATTCCTCCCTTTGAGCCGATATGTTTATCTAATATTCCATACCAAGTTCGTGTAACAGGTCCCTGTCACATAAATTTAATGGGATATATCATACAAAAACTTATGTAACAGATTATTTCAATTAATTATATTACATAGACAAGCTTTGACAAACCAATTTCACACGTGTTATAAATTAATGTTAAATTCTTCAGTATGTTTGTATTAAATTTACTTACAGTAAGAAAAAATCCTATGCACCCAAACTGAGCTGTTCTTACAAAATCTAAATCCTTAATTTTTCTTCGTTCGATTAAATTTTGTGCAATTTGATCTCCGAGTGCCATTAACGTGCCTGTTCGTTTAACGATATAAATAATTTTATGTATATAAGAAATATACATGTAATAGATAAAAAAATTTCAGATATTTCAAAAATGTTGCGCATGTTTTTTACCCGCTTGTGTCGCTTGTGTAAGTAATGGATATTTCGTTAATAATCTTCGGTATATTTTGATAATATTCAGCATACTTATAGAATGTGTCATTATCGTATAATAATTATCGCAATGTTATTGGTTATTTTTTAACTTCATATAACACATCGTGTACTTTCAATCTATATACATATGTACATACTACAACTGTATGATATGATCGTCATATTATGGAATTATTTTATTCAAAATACGTTTGATTAATACGGTTCAATTACGTTATATGACGTTTAATAGCTATATACGCTTAATAACACGCTTAGCAATGCGCAGCACGTGGGTAGTTAAACTTGCAATAGATTTTAATCTATTAAATCATACGACGCAATACATACATACATACATACATATGTGCATACATATTATATATATGTTGCATCTTCTATGTTAATTGTTAATCATACAGTTTTTGTATTATAAAACCATACTCAAAGTAAACATTTTAATATACCTGTAGATAAATATATAGATTTCATCAAAATTTATTTGGTATTCCTTTAACGAAAGTTTGACATATCGCACAGTTGGTCATACTGCTAAACTGACAGTACTATTAGGAAACGGTTGCAAAGTAAAGATGGCAGTGAGAGGTGATACACGAATTCTCCTTCTCGTAATTTTATGTATTTTCTTGTTAAAATCGTGTAATGGGGCCGCGACAGATATTGAATTAGACGCGAAGGCACAGCTATTGCACAGGCTCGATAGTTTGAACCTTTTACTATACACATTTTTATTGATATTAACTGTTTTAACAATATGGACTTTTAAGCATCGTCGACTTAGGTTCCTCCATGAAACTGGGCTAGCTGTCATTTATGGTAAGTCGTCTGCTGTTGTTAACGTTCACGTATTAAAAATGTAAATGTAACGCGCACGTCTTCTAAGTTTAAGTAAAGGAATTCTCGTTATTGCATTATTACACGTATGCAATATGTATTAAATACTTTATTATTTGAAATCTATATATATATTTTTTTTATATACAAGGTCAATAAGAAAAAGATTCGTAATTTCTAGGAATTATAATAGACAATACACCGAAATACGAAAAAAAATCCTAATAAACATGGGTTGAAAAATTAATAGTTTCAAAGTTATAAACAATTTTTTGTTTCGAAAAACGAAATCCCTCGGTTTGAGAGCTATCATAATGTATATAATGGTTTACCATTTTAATTTCTTCTTTTCCTAATTACAGAAGGTTTTCTACGTGTCCTCCTACCATTTCTATGCATGCTTGATACTTTTGTATTAAAGAATTACGTACTCTTTCAAAGATTCCTGGATGTGTTTTAACTTTTTCACAAGTTGAAACAAAAAATCGTTTATAACTTTAAAACTATTAATTTTTTGGACCCACATTTCTTAGGACTTTTTTTCATGTTCCGGTGAGTATTATCTATCCTAGAAGTGAATACTTTTTTCTATTCACCCTGTATGTGTATAATGTAATGTTTTTCTTGTGCTTTTAAATTCTGATTCAATTATATCTGTGAATTAAAAGTGCATGACTAATCTTATGATTATAGAAATAAGATACTTTATATACATGATTTTGTTTACAATAACAATTCTTTGATAAAAGATATGAGTAATATGTTTCATTGTTAAAATATTTATTTTATCATTATTTTATTCATTATCTTATATTATTTTTATCAATATGAAAAATATATTGTAAAAAACAATTATCCTTGATTTTAAGTTTAAATTATATATAAAACGTAATTATTTTATAAAAATTTAAAATATAATAAACATCCTAGTTACATAAAAGAAAATTTCATAAAAACATAAATTTATTGTCAAGTATTAAATCAGTTTTTTTAATGACCCGAAAAATTGGAAATTATTGTTAATGTATGTATTTCTTCAGGATTAATTATAGGAGCAATAATTCGTTATGGCTTTACAACAAGTAGTACCATTCTTCATATGCCCGTTGTGCCAGATGCCAGCAGTAAATATAATCAATCAGTTCCTCCAGATACATTATGGTTGCGTTTTCCAGAAGACAAAGGAGGTGGTGTTATTAAAAATAAGACATTTGCCTATTCATTTAGAGGAGAAATTTATAAGCAAGATAATGAGATAGATTTGAAGGTAACAAAGTAACAATAAAAGCTTTTTTAGTTCCAAATTAAATGAAGTAAAATCTAATTAATATAAAAATATATAATTTTAACAGGCAACCTTTGATCCAGAAATATTTTTTAATATTATTTTACCACCGATCATTTTCCATGCTGGATATAGTTTAAAACGTGTAAGTAACAATAGATTAATTCTTTTATATTATACTATTAATTTCATATTTTTTCATATTTCAGAAATACTTTTTTAGAAACTTAGGAGCAATTCTTATGTATGCTTTAATTGGAACATCTATATCAGCTTTCGTTATTGGGTATGTCCACATTAATGAGGAATATCAAAGATTAATAAGTAGGCAGTAACTTTTATGTTACAATAACAAATTTATTTAGAGATTTGTATGGAATGTTTCTTGTGATAATTTTGTGTCCATAGGTCATTTAGATTGAATATATCTGTTGTTTCCCCTATAGACTATAGATAAAAACAAAAATTCTTTGTAAAATAATTTTTTTCTAATTACACAGTTCTCTGACATGTACATTATTTGTTTTCTTTTCAGAGCTTTGATGTATGCCTTTGTACAGTTAATACCACATCTTTCTGCTTCATTTACATTTTTGGATACTTTGTATTTTGGTGCATTAATATCTCCTACGGATCCACTGACAATAATTTCTATTTTTAATGATTTACATGTAGATGTAAATTTATATGCTTTAGTATTTGGAGAAAGTGTATTAAATGATGCAGTTGCAATTGTACTTAGTGGGTATGTATATAAAAACATTGAAAATAGAGAGTTTCAATCAAATATATATATAAATTATACATTTTGTTGCAGTTCTATACAAAATTATGGAGAACGTTATCAATCAGGTTCAGGTGGATTTGAAACTGTAGCATTTTTCCAAGCATTTGGTGATTTTGTTGGAATATTTAGTTTATCTTTATTTATTGGTGCTACTATGGGATGTATCACTGCTTTGTTAACTAAATTTACTAGAGTTCGAGATTTTCCCCTTTTGGAATCAGCATTGTTTGTTTTAATGTCTTATAGTACATTTTTAATTGCTGAAGCATCTGATCTTACAGGTAATATTCATGAAAAACTTACATTCATCATCTTTTTTTTTTTTTGATAAATAGTTAATATTTTAAATAATTATTTACATATAGGTGTAGTCGCTGTTTTATTCTGTGGTATTTGTCAAGCACATTACACATATAATAATTTAAGTCCGGATTCGCGTCAACGAACAAAACAATTGTTTGAACTTTTAAATTTTTTAGCTGAAAACTTCATATTCAGCTATATTGGTGTTTCAATGTTTACTTTTCCGAAGCACCATTTTGATCCAGGATTTATTTTTGCAGGATTTGTATCCTTATTATATAATAATTTTCAACTTTAGAACGTATAACTTCGGTTAACTGTTAAATCCTTAACTACTTTATTATAGCTCTGTGCGTTATTAGGTCGCGCAGCCAATGTATATCCATTATCCTTTATATTGAATTTAGCGCGAAAACCAAAGATATCGTTAAATTATCAGCACATGTTATTTTTTGCTGGGTTACGCGGAGCTATGAGTTTTGCTCTAGCCATCAGAAATACTGTATCTGATGCTCGGCAGGCTATGTTAACAACGACGAGTTTAATTGTAATTCTGACGGTCATTTTCCAGGGTGGTGCAACAACTCAGTTTTTAAGCTGGTTTAATATACCGTGAGTGTAAAAGATTTTTTTTTTCTATAATTCACTTATTCAAATAAATTATTTTCTTTCAGAGTTGGAGTAGATGAAGAAATAGAAGGACTATCACACAATGGAATGCGTAGTGTAAGTATTATATTTTCATTTTTAATTACTTAAAGTTACTAGTTTTTATTTTACAGAAATTAATATAAGTAATATGAAACGGAATTTGCACTAACATACATAGTATATGGTAGATTTTTTTGTATATTTTTGATATAAAGAATATAGTAATATGTATTAATAATATGTAGTTTAACTTATCCAATATTTGTTTTAAAAGAATGTAATTTTTTATTATTTTGCAATCTTTTCAGACTTTTTTAATTATTTTTTTAATTGTGTTGCTTGTTAACTTGGATTTGTTATTTTTATTTTTGTAAGTAATAAGTTTATGTATATATATTACAAATAATGAAGCAGTGATATCTAATTATTTAATACATATTCAAATAAAAGGTATAAATTTTTGTTAAATACATCAAAAGTTGTCAAAAGCAAAATTTTAATAAGATTAGATTTTATTAGATATTGATCTTAAGATCTTAATTAAGTACTTTTAATATTCAGAAAGCATCTCTCTATGAAAATATGAAGATTTTTAGTGAATAGTCAATTTTATTAATAATCTGTATTATTTATAAATTAAAGAATATGTCGGTTCATCAAGTCAATTTTTAAAATCAAAATTTGAAGCATTTTAAATGTTAAAAGACGATAAGATTCTCAAAATGATATTTATTCATTAAAATTTACTTATTTTAACACATGTTTATTTGCACATTTTTAACTTATTCGAATTTTAATTAAAGAATATCTAATATAAGTAAATAGAAACAAAAGTTTTTTTAATTGTTAACTTTTTGGACTATTCATTCATAATATATATAAAACCATTAAATTTAAATTGCTCAGCAATATAGTGTTTCTTTAGAAAAGTTAAAATACAAATATATTTGCGCATGAATGCTGCAAGATTGTTCTTATACTGCTACATTTTCTATCTTTTGCCCCAATTGTTATATTCAAAATTGTGATGTACATTTTCAATATTACATACTATTATTAAAAAGTCTAAAAACTTTTGTTTCTATTTTTAAAAAATGTACGAAAAGATCGTATTTGCAAATGTTTGTTTTCTAATTCCACTTAAGTAACCTTGGACAAGACTATTGCACAAAAATTACTAAAATCATAAATAGCTTGCACTAGAACTTAACTTTTTAAAAAATCCAGCATGTTATTACATTATAACAAATTTGGTAAAAATGCTTGGTTAATTCTAAGTAATTTCGCTTAATAATTATCATAAAAAGATTAGAATTTAACGTACTAATGTTAATAGTCTGGTGGCGAAGGTGGCTTTGGAGATCTGGACATACGTAGGGAGCGAAGTCCGCCGGTATGTTTTCACATTAATTCAAAAATTGAGTTATGTTGTTTATGTGGTCACAAATAATTCATGCATTTAAATTATATACAAATTCCTATGTTTATTACATTGAGATTAATTTGGTCCTATAATCTTTTGTAGTTTATATTTAATCTTTCCTTACACAATTATGCAACATATGAATTATTAGTTTTGTACATTATAAGTAATATCATATGAGTTGCTTTCTGTCATTAGTACAGATGTACAAAATAATCAAATTATAATACTTAGTAAGGGATTGAATAAAAATTATCTTATTAAAATATTTGCAATGACCACTAATTGTTTTATTAATTAAATATATATCAAAATATTGTTATTTAAATACTTTAAATATTGAGTTAATAAAAATATAAATATCTTAATATCTATTAACATATACTATTTTTAAAGATAGGATTTAGTTTCAAGTGGTATAAAAATTATAATTTTATTTTAAAGATTTACACATAATAATTTATTTAGGATTTAAAATTTTGAAAATGATTTTACTAACAAATTTATAGATGCTTATGATTTATATCCTGTAAATTAGCTTTTATAGTTTAGTTACCTAATTTTCTATTTATTTATATGTATAAAAAAGAAAAATTAATTCTAATATTGCTATAATGTTTGGCTTTATATATAAAATTATAATTTTATTTTCATTAAACATCAATTTGATTGTTAATTGCATGTGCTTAAATATTTCTTTTTGTATCATTTTTGTTATCCATTCTGTATGTTGATGATTGGTAGTGTATAAAATATATATATATATAAATATAGATATATATATATCCATTTATATTAACAAAACATATGCAAACATAATTAACAATGTATACCAATATAAAGATGAACAATTAAGCATGTTTTTTAATACCTAATAATAATATTAAACTTTGATATAAAACATATATGTGCTCCATTCAATTATTTATATAATTATATAAAGTTAATTTAAAGTTATTTATTTAAAACTTATTTAATAAATTATATAAATTATCATCTTTTAAATATTTTTAATAAATATAAGTTTTTACTTACGTTTGAAATAAAATCATACAGGATGGATAATCAAAATATCCTTCACATTTCACAGTATAATTCTATGCAGGATGGATCATTACCAGGCAGTGGCATAAAACCTAATGAAAAAGCATTACTTGCTAGAATCTGGGGTGATTTTGATACTCGCTACATGAAACCATTCTTAACTCACTCCAGGCCTACATTGCTGGAAACATTACCAGTTTGTTGCACACCTCTAGCCAGGATCCTTACAACAACACAACAAATGACACAGGTACAATATATGATTGTAAAAATTTTTATTTTATGAAAGCTGTTAATAAAATAGTTACAAGTAGATATTTTACTCCAAATTCCTTCTTTTTTAGGATGAAGCTGTTAGAAAAGCAGATTCAGATTCAGACTTTTGTCTTGAAGATCGCGAACTGGAGCGACGAAGGACTAGTATTCAACCGGTGAGTTTTCATCAACCTAATCTCAATTACACTATTAATCCGTGCTATCAGCCTAACAGCACAGATGCCTCTAATCCAGATGAACCTTATGTAATTCTTAATTTACACAGAAGGTAGAAATACTGGATTTGAATTAAAATATTCAAATTTTGTATAAAAAATTATGTGTGAAAATATTTCTTACATTGGTATGAATGATTATATCATTTATGCCTAATTTTCGTATAATCATATTTTAAATATTGTTCCAAATTATCTCTTCGTTATATCATTTACATAAAAACACTTGTACAATATAACCTTTCCATTTTATATGAAAGTAATATTTTAGTATTACCTGTAATATATGTTCCTATTTAATGTTTAAAGTTTTCTGTGAATATTAACAATTGTATAAATTTCACTTATTAATTATATCTTTAACTTAGTAAATAATGGCTTGTACCAAAATCTTTCATATAAAATGTATAGAATATGCATGAAAAACTTATTTTTCTTTACTGTAGATATACAATGATACACATCTGAATCATTAAATAACATATGTATTAAATATGTATTCATTTATGAAATGTACAAGTGTACATATTAATTACTTAATTGTTAAAATCTTATTAATATAAGAAGAAAATATTGTGTATCACTGTTATATATTTAGGTTTGTGGGTTATTAACAATACTAACAATATTTTTACGATAACAAAAAATCAGTCATAAAATATATTGAAGTTGAAATGCTACTGTATAGGCATGAATCTATATATAGCCTTCTTACTAAAGGTATTTTACAGATGCAGTAAATGTATGCAACTATTTTAGTCATTAATTGTAAGACACACGTGAAGAATTAATGAATTCATTTGAAAAAATTTATTCAAAATCAAAATGTATGTAATGCTATAATTTGACACTTCCTTATCCACATATCAAATTAAATATCAAAGGAATCATTTCATTTCTTCTTTTTATGAATAATTTTTTTTCTTCGAAAATTATGTTTAATGTCTATTATTAAAATAATATTTCTAAATATGCAAAATATTTTTGTTACTGTAACTTAAGTGTGAAGAACCTGTGCTATATATATAGCATATATTAGCATATATATAACATATATATATATACATATATACATATGTGTGTGTATATATATATATATATTTTTTTTTTTTCATCAATTTAGAGCAACTTCTTTAGTTTACATTTGATCGCGCTCTTACCAATTTTTTTAGAGAAAAAGAAATGATGATGATGATGATGATGATGAGGACCTAAGAATCATTGGAATGGAAGGATTTATTCCATTAAGAACATTGTAACGAGACAGAAGCCATTGAATATAATGTTTTGAGAAGATTATTTTTAAATACTTTGTATTATACTTGAGGGTAGGGTTTATACATATTGACATGATATTTTTAATGATACTTTTAATTTTTTGCAATGATGTTAAATAAGTTTTACATTACTAATTAACATTTCTGAATTTCTGCAAATCTAAAAAGAATTATTTTTCTGTTTAAAAAATCTGATACTGTTTATTTATTATTTAAAGATCAGTCATCACATATATTTATATTTTCTATTTATGTTATTAATTATGAAATGTTATTTAAAATTGTTATGTTTAACATGTGCTTTTTTTTAAGTACTAAAATTTTAGATCGAAATAATATCACACAACAAAATGTCTATGCTACATCTTTTATTTTCTTGACATCAAAATGTAATGCATCTTAATGTAAATGCAATTTATAAAAATCAAAAGACACACCACACAAACAACAAATTTTGAAAATGTACATATTGTGATTTTTTTGAAAGTATTAACATAAGTAAAATAATTATAGTAAAAAGTGCGATAGAACTTTGACCTATATTAAAAGATCATATAGAGTTACTAAAGTTTTTAAATATATTGTAATTGAACATTAAACATAATTTTCAAGTGTTCAATTAATTATTCTCAAATTCTTAAATCTTTCTAAATCTCATTATACTTCAGTAACACTAAATCATTAATATTGTTACAAGATTTATGAGGTAAATATTATATTCTATCAATTTTTCAATTTATTTTTTTTATATTGGCTATATTTTATTTATTCATAGCTATGTTGGAAAAGGATCTGGTTTACATCTATCACTTAATGAATGTTATTAATTGCATGTAGCCTGAGAAACCAAATTATTTTTCAGGCATCAATTTTTATATCAGAAATGCTATCTAAAAGTTGCCGCTTGCACACTACTTATGCTATTAGTAACAAATAATTTCTGCAGGAAAGATAATCTTTTACATCTGCTTCCTATATTGTTTACCAATATCTATCACTATATAATCACACTATATTTTTTTTTACAAATATTGATGTAAGTTTTAAATAGCACTGCATATAATTTAGTGCACATGTACTTAATTTTATTGATGTGGCCAAGAAAAGATAAATTGTATAAGTGTTTTGAAATTTTACATATTTTATATTTAACAAGAGATTTTAATAAATTATGATAGAGTATTATTAATATTTTGTTCAAAATTTTTTGAGAAGATTATATTAATGTGCAATCGGCAAGTAACATATTCTGATAATGATAAGTGTCCTGCAATTATGTTTTTATCTTCCTAGGAAGATTTTCAGTTCTGTGTAAATTATTTTTTCCTTTTATATTTATTTTTACTTTTTTCAGTTTATTACAGCATATATTGCTTATTTATATTTGGTTTCTCCACAGACACATGTAAGGAGCTCTCCAAACAGAACACATTTATAAGAATAAATCTAATATGATTTATTGAGTTGTGTACATTTTTGGGGGCATTTGGCTGCAATTGATTTAAGTAATATTTTCTTTCTTGTCAAATATGCCAGAAATATAATATTTAACATTAATATGTTATTTCATACAGATTCTAATTCAGTATGTTTAATTTTTAACATTCTCTAATTTTGTTACCAGATAAATTTTAATTTCTTCAAATGATACAAAACATATGTATATGCTTTCTGATACATTGTAATCAACATCTCAGATAGTATTTAGTGAGGAAAGTATGACATAGGTATGTGCGTATGCAATGTTGGTGTCAAGTATTACCTATTATTGTTGTACTATAGTTTCTATAAATGTTGATTATATTTTCCTGATATTTATTTTCTTTGGAAAGTATTATCCAATATTTCGGATAACAAAAGACATTGACAACAAAAAATTAAATGTAAGTATTATACAAAGAATAAATAATAAGGAGAAGGTAAAAAATTACATGTTAGACATGTTAAATTTTACAAAAATTATTTGCTATAATACTAAATTATAAAAAGACATCATTAATAAACAATAAACCTTCTCCTTATTTAATAATCTATTTATTCTAATTATGGTACTTGCATAAAAATAGACTCTATTTTAAATATTGACTTAATCCTGTTAATTACTACTAATTTTGTTATAATTTTTATGAACAACTTTTACATATGAATAATAATTTTGACGCAAAATTAATAACAATTTTATTTGGTATGTTAAATAAGAATTAAGTGTAAGAATCTAAAGATGGGTTCTTGATGTATTTAATACTTTGTGGGGCAGCTGGGAACTGTGATGGGAGAAGTTAGTCCGGGACCACTACCATTGCACACACGCGTCGCCTTGCCAGGTTTGGTCGGCAAACATTTATAGAGACTAATTGATATTGGTAAATAAATTTATCTTTTTATGTGTAATATTAAATGTGCAACTGATAAATGTATTTATTCGAAAAGCTTAAAAAATCTATGTAAACTATTAGTATTATATCTAATACTATCCATTATAAATAGAATTTGGAAGATGTTTCTATTACTTGTTTTTATTTAAATATTATAAAATTAAATTGTATAAGTTGTCAAGTAAATACAAATGTATGTATTTGTAATAAACGTAATTTATATTATTTCCACTTTATAATACTGTCTTTTAATTGTCATAGATAAAACTTCTTCAATAATTTATACGCATGTATACATGAATTATAGATATTATAGCAACATGTATATTACATTTATTGGTTGTACTAAATTTAACAAAGTTTTGTTGTATGCAATACCAATCAATTGGTTATATGAAAATTAATAAACATAACTTGTAGTTTTCATATGGCATATGATTTACAGTTTAGTGCAAGTCCTGGTTTGTAATATTATCACAGAAAAATTTATCTTGCAACGTTATTGAATTAAATATAGTAATGTAACACCAACTGATATTTGCATCATGCATTCAAATATAATAATTTATAATACAATATAATACAATTAATATATTTTATCGAAGATTTTAAATTTGTAAAGTGAAATTAAATAGAGAAATAATATATAACTAAAAGTATAATAGTAATAAATAAATATCTAATTAATTTTTAATATTCTTGTTAAAAATTAATTTTTAAATAGGAATATCTGTTACATAAATTTAAATTATTATATTTGGATGTATCTTGTAATAAGATAATTTTGTTTGAACGAAGAACAATTTTGTTCGGCAAATTGATTTTGCTGTCATGTACAATTATATTTACATTCAAGGTGCAGGACACTTAACACGTGATAAAAATATATAAATACATTACATTTATGTTATAATTTGTAATTATATGTGAATTTTAAAGAGACGAAGGCAAAAATTAAATTAATGAAGATAAAACAATTTATTGAAAAAAGATTATTACATACAAAAACTATAACCTGTGCCAAAGTTCACAAAACTACAAGATAAATTAGGAAAATCTTCTGTGAAAATGATCATAAATAAAAACTTTAACATATTTTGAAATTTTAAATGACAAATAATATAATACTGTTCTCAGAAAAATAAAAAGTACATATTACAAATTATAGAAATACAAGAATTAAATAAAATATTATTTGCAAAATGTACTTTAATCATTTTTTAGAATCATATACTATTGATAATTGCATATTTGATACGTATATTATATTGTTAAGTATCTATTTATAATTTCTTATGTATTAATATTAAATTGTACATAATGCATTCAATTATAGTTTATTACCAATAATTTGAATTATTCATAAAACATGAAATACAAAAGTGATAGATAAAAATATATGAAGTCTTACTTTAGATGTTGGCTGTGAACATAACAAAAACATTTGGATATGTAGTTTACATATTAGAAATGAATATTCAGAAATTATATCTACATATATGTTACTTTACAATTACCTGTATTTAAATTAGTAAATTATTTTAATCATACATAAAACTAATTAACTTACTACGATATTGCATAACAAGCAGGATTAGCCCATAGCTCTTAAAATGCTCTTTTTCTATACAGTTGTGAATTGAAAAATATGTAATAATCATTGCAATGTATACATATATATATATATATATATATTCTATATATACATATATAGAATAATAATGTTGTGATACTATGTACTACACTTTACAGTGTTTAATAAAGTATTTGTAAAAACAAAATGAAAATATTTAAAATTTAATTGAATATTATAAATAAATAAAATTTTTCTATAGAGTGTACAGACCTACAAAAATGAAAAAAATAGACTTTTATACATGTATAATACATTACAATATTATACAATTATTTGACTTTTAATCATTTTTCTCATGTCGTCAGTGACAGTAAACATGGGCCCATGTCCAGGTATTATGAAATTTGCCATGTCTATTACATAAGATCTCATACGTGACTGGGTTTTTTGTAATTCTGTAGTTCCTAATTCTTGCCAAATTGTTGGATCTAATATGTCTTCTTCTTTTTCAAATAAATCTCCTATAAAATGTATAACAATACAGAAATTTCAAAACTATTTATTCATTATTATATTTATTTCAAAAAATATCATAGCAAAACCTGTAATAGCAAAACATGTAGATTTTTCAGAAACTATAGTTTCAACTAAAACTGTAATATCATCTGGTGTATGACCAGGGGTTGCTATAACTTTAACTTCTGGACAAATTTGATATCCTGCATAATATATTTAATAATTATCATTTTTTATTAATTTTACATCTTTGTGTAGTTTTATTATTAAATGTAAAAAAAGCTTTACCGTCTTTAAAATTTTTATTGAAAAATAATTCACCACGGTGGACACAAGTTCCAATTATATGTTCTGCATGTACAAAAAGATTATTATTTCCTATATGATCGGCATGACTATGAGTACATACTACATAATCAATCCTTTCAGGTGTAATATTATGTTTAATAAGTGCTGAAATAAAATTCTTATTTAAGTACTTATTTAAGTACTTAAACGATCCTCGTGTGAACAATAATACCTTGTATTATTTTTTCTCGATCCCAAGCTGTCATAGTATCAACGATAATATTCTTTGATGCCTTTATTAATGTACAAGAACAATTAGCTTTCATTATTTCATCGTCAAATTTCGTCGAGTGACCATTAAATAATACAAGAACTTCGCACATTTTTAAAATCCAATTTAAGACAAATTTCAGATTGTAAAAATTATTTGCCTCTAATTCTGTGTTATAATAGATATTGTATATTTTAGGAATAAATACGATTTATTTCATTATTATTTAAAGAAAATTATACTTAAGCATGCACCGTGAATACCATCCCTAGGATAGGCGCCGGAACTAATTTATATTGCTCTCCTTGTCTATCACACGAATATGTCTGGTCTTGTTCCACGCTATCGCCCTCCTTGTTTGCCGCGCAAATATGTTTGTCCTTGTCGCACGCTGTTGCTCTCCTTGTCTACCGTACAGACATGTCTGTCCTTGTCGCGCACTGTTGCTCTTCTTGTCTAATGACGCTAGACAAGGAAAACAACAGTGTGTGACAAGGACATGCTTCGATCTATTGAAAAAAAAATTCAACTTTTTACACACACGTTCTTCTAGAACAAAACACACACAGAAAGAAAGCGGCGAGCCTAATTCTAAGGACGCATATAAAAATGTTTGCAAATTATTCCTCTTAATTAGGTTTTTTTCGTAATTAGTGCGAACTGTCACAAAATGGACATGGTGGCGCCATCTAGCGGTAACTCAGTGGTACTAATTATTTATAAAAATATTTATTTCTGCATTTTACGGGTCAAATTGGGTATGAAAAGAAAGTTAAGGGTCTAATTAGGGTAATACAATCACCAAAGTTCACAATTCATTTCGCTAAATTAGGTTTTTTCGCAGATGAAAATTTCTCTGTTCTACGGGGTAAGAAACACTAGCGCCACGTTGTGGCAGACCAGTGGAACTAAACGCTCTATAACAATATAAGGGGAATAATTAATTTTAATTTTTCACGCTACTAATTTGCACTCCACGAGCACGTATTTCAAAGACAATGCTATCAGTTACGTTCGTAAATAAATCTGAATCTAATATTCACTATAGTTTGCGCGAAATTATATACTCACTCCGAGCACTATACTAACGTAAACAAAATTGAAATATACTTTATATACGCAAACTATACTTAAACAAAACATAAAACGCAAGCTTAGGGTTCCTAAAATCGAAGACGCAACCATAACAGTTCACAAATGATTCCTCGTAATTAATTTCTTCTCGTAATTTGTGGAAAAAATGTCACCTATCAATGTTTAGAGGCAACGGTGGCGCCATCTATTGACAACTCGGTGGTACTAAAAGTAGAAAATTCTACTTTTAGTACCACCGAGTTGTCAATAGATGGCGCCACCNAAGGACAAACATATTTGCGCGGCAAACAAGGAGGGCGATAGCGTGGAACAAGACCAGACATATTCGTGTGATAGACAAGGAAGGTAATAGCGTGTGACAAGGACATACATATTCGTGCCGTAGACAAGAAGAGTGGTAGTGTGCGACAAGAACAATATAAATTAGATCCACCGTTTCACTATTCGACGCTAGTATTTTAAAATATTTGTTTGAATCAAGAACCTTACATTAGAGGTTATGTTTTTAATGTAAAGCATGCCGGATCATAACATTCGTTATATTTCTCTTAAATGAAAGCTTAATGAAAAGATAATATTAAAATGAAGCTGGTAATTATAATTATTGCAATATTTGAATATAGTAACATACGTAAATTTAATTTATTTTTAATAATTATTTTTAGTGTACTCTCTTTTATGAATGTTTGAATTTAGATATTTACATTAATAAGTGCAATATTACCTGATAATTGTCTAATGTATTAATTATTCATAATAGATGCATTTTAAATATATTATATTTATAGTATTGTTTATCAAGTGAACCAACAAAACCATGTTTGGTTTTAAGTTTCAAAGGAATTACTTTGATGTTAGATTGCGGTTTAAATATGCAATCTGTATTACATTTTATGCCAATGCCTATGGTTCCCAGCGCTAAATTTAATTCTTTATCTTCTTGGCTTCCACGTGATAATCACCAAGACTGGCAAATAGAAGGGGTTTGCATATTCACATACTTTTTAAAATACAATTATGACTCATATACAAACTTACACTCATATTAGACATCCAATTTTTCAGGAACTGAAAGAATGTTGTGGCAGAGTGTTTGTAGACTCAACCCCTGAATTTTCTCCACCTTTGGAAAAAATAGTAGATTTTTCAGAAATTGATGCCATTTTAATATCAAATTACACTTGTATGTTGGCTTTGCCATTTATAACAGAAGACACTGGCTTTAAAGGCATTATTTATGCTACAGAACCAACATTACAAATTGGACGATTTTTTATGGAAGAACTAGTAGAATTCATTGAACAAACTCCTAGAGCTACCTTAGCTAAACATTGGAAGGAAATGCTACATGTATTACCTCCTCCATTAGCTGATGCTCTTAAGCCAAAATCTTGGAAGCATATATATTCATTGTCAGCAGTTAATACTGCTTTATCATATATTCAAACAGTTGGATATGATCAAAAATTGGTGAGTTAATATAATGTTATTTTATACTATCTATCTCTCTTTGAAATGCTTTTTATTTCTCATAGGATATATATGGTGCATTAACAGTCACTCCTATAAGTTCTGGATATTGTTTGGGTAGCAGTAATTGGTTAATTTCATGTGATCATGAAAAGGTTGCGTTTGTAAGTGGATCTTCAACATTGACAACACATCCTAGGCCTATGGAACAGGCTACTTTGAAACATGCTAATATGTTAATATTAACGGGTTTAACTCAAACTCCTACTGCAAATCCAGATACTATGCTTGGGGAACTCTGTATGACTGTTGGTAAGTAAACTTAAAATATTTTATATAATACCTCTACAATTCAGTGTGCACACTGGAGTTTAATATTATAGCGATAACACTCAGAAGTGGAGGATGTGTCTTAATACCATGTTATCCATCTGGAGTTGTATATGATTTATTTGAATGTCTCAGTACTCACTTGGATAAATCTGGGTTTTCACAAGTTCCTTTATTTTTTATATCACCAGTAGCTGAAACTTCTTTAGCATATTCAAATATTTTAGCTGAATGGTATGTAATATTATTGGATAGTAAAATTATTTAAATTATTTATTTTAAGTTTATTACAGGTTATCAACAAATAAACAAAATAAAGTTTATCTCCCTGAAGAACCATTTCCACATGCCTTCCTTGTTAAGAATGCTAGATTAAAACATTTTACATCTACATACGCTGAAGGTTTCAGTTCAGATTACAGACAACCTTGTGTTGTGTTTTGTGGTCATCCAAGCCTCAGATTTGGAGATGCAGTTCATTTTGTTCAACTATGGGGTAACAACCCACAACACACCATAATTTTCACAGGTATATTTATTGTTATATATTAAATTATATATTAAATATAATTTATACTATATTATAATGATGTATGTATATATGATGATATATGTTATGATATAATAGAATGTTATGGTATAATTTATAATAAATTTTACATGTAATAATCATTATTTCAGAACCAGATTTTCCATATTTAGATGCTTTAGCACCATTTCAACCATTATCTATGAAAGCAGTGCATTGTCCAATTGATACATCTCTTAATTTTACTCAAGCTAATAAATTAATTAGAGATTTGAAACCTGAACATTTAGTTATACCTGAATGTTATACACAACCACCAATAACTGCACCACATAGAACAGATCTTGTTATAGAACCTGTAGGAGTAAGTATATTGTCTTAACTATATATGCGTAACAATTGACTTCTTAACTTATTTCACGTATAAGGAAAAACCGTTAATCACTTTCAAAAGAGGTGAAGTTATCAAACTGCCTTTAAAAAGAAAGAAAGGACGAGTATTTATTGAACCAGAATTGGCTGGAAATATAATTCCTAATGAAATTCGACCTGGTTTAAGTCTTGCGTCTGTTACTGGTGAATTGGAAGTTAAAGATAATGTATATACAATAAAAGTATGCATTAATCAAGTAAAACTCAATAAATGTATAATTTTAAAGACATGTTTTATTAACTAAGAACTGTATATTTAGAATATTGAAGATAGACCTAGCGGAAAACGCAAAACATCTTCCAGTTCACCTGCACCAATCAAGGAAGAAGTTCTTAAAGAACGAAAACACGAATATGGTAATTTGGATCCACAAGAACTTCTTCAGAAACTTAATCAAGAGGGCATTCAAGGAGCTAAGTTACAACATAGTCCAACTGCGACCAGTATTCACTTAGTAAGAATTTATTAAATGTTTTCATCTTAAAACATAAAATTCTTTTTTAGTTGTGTTTATTGTATTGTTTGTGTTTACAGCAAGATGAAGATACTTTGATTCAAATAGGAGATAATTCGACACACATATTCTGCAATGGTGACCAAAAGATTAGAAGACGATTAAGAACTATTATTATGCAGTGCCTTAAAAGATTTTAGGATAAAATATGAATATTATATTATGACTATTTTATATAGAGACAATTGTATTATAACTTTTGTTTATATAGCACAAAAAATATTCATCATAAGTACTTTCAGTTAAACTTAAGTAATATATTCTATTGCCTTTATTTTGCATATATAGGATGTGAAACTTAATATGTTACAAGACAATATTTTAGAGTTAGAAAAAATACGTAAAGTTTTTTATTTTTTGCAATCATATAATGATCAGTTTTAATATTTATGTTCATAATTCATTTACTAACGATCAAAATAATTCTATATATAGTCATAATAATAAATAGAATGAAAGTAGAAAGCACTTTCATATGATTTTAGTATTTTCTTTTACAAAATGACGAAATTATAATTAAATTCTCGGTAAATAAAACAGTTTCTGGCAAAATTTTATACTTATTGTTGTAAAATTTTGTAACAAAACAAGTATTACATTTTATATATACGTATGTACATACATATCGATCTATATATAATATTTACAAATATAATTGTGAAAATGGCAGTATAACATATCTATTTCATTTATATTTTCTCATGCCAAAAATACTTAAGTAAATTTATTAAAAATCTTGCGCAAAATAGAAAAATTATAAAATTATATTATATACCTTTAGTATAACTTAACTATAGGTAGAATTTGACGAAAAACGTTTTCATAATACTCTACTTTAACATTGTCTTTTATTTTACATTATTGTGTCCATTTTATATTTTTGAAGAGTTCCTAATTAAACAATACTATTTATGTAATAAATTAAATAACAATATTTTTCCAAAAAATTTTGTTGCAGTCTGAAATTATTGTAAGTTTGATATAAAGATTATGTTAATTTCTATATTTTATAAATATACTTTCTAAAATCACTGCATTATTTTTGCTGTAATCTGAATGCAAAATATATTTTTATATTTATTTTAATACATTTTATATCAATATTATTATTTAATTAATGAAAAATTAATCAACACATTACACAATAGTAAATATAATATTAATAAAAAAAATAAATATATATATAACTGTATATTTATATGTCATTCATGTTAAATTATTATATTATTAATTATGTAATTAGAAATCCATAAACTCAACTACGAAATAATCGAATTATAAATAGAAAAAAGTAAAATTTCATTTGTTTTATACATACCGTTAGGTATGTTTAAACATCAGCATTCTCAAAACATAAGTTCTGTTTTTATGTTTTATTCTTAAGATATAAGCACTTGATTTATGCATTCAGAATACAGCATATTTAAATCTAATTGCCAGTTGCAAAACCAAGTGCTAAACCAGCTACAAAAGATGCAAGGAAAAAGTGAAATTCTGTAGGTTTAAAGGAGGTATCACCAGTTATAGAGTGGTACCAACGGCGCGTACGAGATTCACCATTTTTCAATAATTGTTCAGCTTTATCTAGCTTTTTATCAACGTATCTCTCGACCTGAAACAATAGAGTTCGTTACTAACATAAATGACAATTATAAACAATTGAAAATACATTTTAAATGTATTATTTCAGTTTTCAAAGCAGGAAACTCGATATAATATACAAAAGAAAGTAAAATTCCAACTAATCAAATTATTATGTTTATTGCTTGATGTGAGTAATTCTTTACAATATTTTTGTTATGATTTGTTCACTGTTCTTTTTTCACAAGATTTAATGAATTTGTATATATAATTGAATAATTGATGGTTGCAAGATATATAAAAACTTCTTAATGCATTTGCATATTTTCAGAAGTATTAGGTTTTAATTACATGAACTACAGTGTTACAAAGAGTCAAGCTATACATTAAAAAGTTGAAATGAAAACAGGTTCTTAATATTTAGACGATCTAATTTAAATGACATCTTTGGTTTTTATGATGAAATAATGAAATAATATCTAACATACAATGTTAACATTAAAAGTAATAAGTAACATTCGCTCATATTTTTATACAAGACTAATAGCTTCTCACTCAGGATGCTAAACCAATAATGAAACCACCAATGAAACTTGTTGCCACAAGTGTATTGTGTCGACACCATAATCCTACCTATAAATAATATTAACATTATATTTATATACAGCGATGTTATTACATATATCGAATCTATAAAAATTCCATAACATATATTAAGAACTTTACCTTATCCAGAAGCTTTGGCCCTTCACCTGTTACCTTCTCCTCTACTTTATCTGTAATTCTTTCAGCTTTCTTTTGAATTTTATCCCAATTAATTTTGATGTATCCTTGATGTGCTGCAATTTGTAATATTATAATTCCACCACCAACTGCGCATGCAGCAACTTTTCCAACTTTCATTGTTACAAAACCGGTCAACCTACATATAGTATTCAAATAAAGTTAAATATCTTTTTATTAGGATCCTGTTGAATATAATTATACACACAATTATGAATCATAAATATTTTCAGATATATATTTTTGGTAGAAATTAGAATCATTTAAAGTTATCTTTTTTTAATTACATCATTCTTTAGTTGATTAATAATTCAGATTATATGCAATGAAATTGAAAAGTTGTATAAATTAAATTGAAAAGTATGTATAACACCTACCATCCTGATGTTGTACCAATAATGATTTGTTTGGTGGCAGACTTTTTGCTCACATCTCCTAAGATTTTATCTATCATACTTTTTGCTTCCTTGGAAATATCTAAGCTAGATTCTCCTTTGTTTGTATCGTCTTTACTTTTCTTTGTTACTGGAAGATTCATTCTGACACTGGAAAAAATTTATCAATCTTAATTCCTCATTCTTCAAAAATAGCAATTTTAAAATACATCAATTATCGAAAGTTACTTAATATACATTCATTTCTTTTACTTTTAGTATGGTTTTTTGCCAATTTTTATATTATTTTTTATACCACTTGATACCCTTCGTATCATTTAATTTTGAGTTAACTCGCAAATGACTAATAGTGAATGCTATTCTCACGTCTTTAAATAACATTGTCAGGAAGTCTTTCTTCGGCTATTTGTCAGAACAAAAATATATCGATGATTGCATTGTCAAGAAATTGCAATAATGAAGGTTTCTTATTGTGGCAAATTATTACGAATTTCGAATCAATCTGTCATGCCATACAGCAAATGGATGGAATATCAAAAATAGCCACAAAGTATTCTGAAATAAAGTGAAAAACGAAAAGTGTCTACCGTTTAAATAACTTTGTTGCTCTCGACTTGATCTTATCCTTGTGTATTTTGGGCATGATACAATTCAAGCTTGCTCTTAAATTATCTAATATTTCATAGTGGTTAGTATTTATATGTGCAAGGCTCACCTAATCTCTTCGATTATCGAAGTATTTAATAAAACTAACGTCTTTGTGCTTATAGATCAATGTGAGAAAATATCCGGTACTCTGCAACGATCGTTTCAGTTCAAAAAACTGCAAGACGTCGCAACAGCAAAATCGCAAACTGGCCGTCTGTAATATTTGACAATGCATTAGTAACAAAAATTTAGGAATTGATCTGTCATCTTATGGGATGAAAGATTGAAAATGAGAGTTTGTACATTCATTGTCAATTACTTCTGATTTGTATTTTAGATTCTTAAATTTTATATGTTCGTTATAACAAGTTAAATCGTTGTATTTCACTCTTCTATTTTTATCGATTCAATGACTTAGGTTCTTATCTTACGTGTAACTTTATATTCAGTAATTAAAAACATGTCCATACGCATCGAAACATATACGTCAAATTGTTTAAATTTTCGCGCGATTTCGCGACGTCACGAAGACCAATGTTCTCTGGTACCGGAATTACAAATCGACGTGAACCAAGATAATGGTCTTCCGTCGCGTGATCCGCCTCGTACTGATTTAACCTGATCGCCGATTTTCAAAACTTTATCATCCCGATGAGATGACGAGGTGTTGAGTGTATAAATCGTGAAAACTGTCGAATTCTCATAGAAAGCGGCCAATTCTAAGTGCAAACATGCGTCCTCTCTGTTGGTAAATGAGTATATTTACCGAGTGCGAAAATGGCCCAGGATACTGACGATATCAACTTGACTCCTCAGGAATTACAAATACTATCTGAATTAGACAGGTAATTTTGAGATGGATGAAATCTATTGCAATGAATCTCGTTCTGGTCTCTTGCTTTTTCTCATATCAGTCGTAGTTTTCGCGTTTATCTACCAAAATATAACCTAAAAGTTTGTTTGACAGAATAGGCGCGCAATTTGATTGATATATTCAGAAGTGTTTGCTACCTATTGATATCATTTTTATACGTTTAGATATGAAGAATATGATTAAAATGCCATTATGCTTTTGTAATTTACACTGTGATTGTTTATAATCTTTAAGACATTAGTTAGTCATCCAAAAATATATTTTTGAAATATTTTTGAAGTATGTGAAACATTCATTTATGTGTATTTTAAAAGTTTATTACAATGCAACAATATACAACGAGTGATGTTATTTTTTGCTTGTATTCAATAACGTTATTATTGAGATTTTTTTATTAATTAAGGTATTTTTTCTATGTGTATGCAGTCGACAATTTGGATTTTTAAAATTAAATTCACCGGAGCAAACAAAGAAGAAGGCCTTAGTTGTTCGTGCAATTAAATATTTAGAAAGGATGCTAGTCCAAGCGCAAGCTGAGAAGCAACGCAGAAAAGCAGATAGTACAAAAATAAATCCTGATGAATTAAAAGACGATGATGAAGATAAAGGAATTAGCATTGATCCTAAAACGTATTGTAAACTGGGACATTTTCACTTACTTTTAGAAGATTACAGTAAAGGTAACTGATTGTTTCTGATAAGTTTCCTTTAATTTTATTTACAATACTTTTATGCTTCTTTTGATTTCAACAGCCATGTCGGCGTATCAAAAATTTTATTCCTTGAAAGGAGATTATTGGAAAGATGCTTCATTTTTGTATGGTCAAGGGCTTGTCTACTACCACTTCAATGCTTTTCAATGGTAAGTGACAGTGATGTAACTTTTATTTAGTAGTCCATTACCTTGTAATTGCTTAATTTTGCACGTTTGTGTTTTCTTATGTATAATAACTCATTCTGTTTCTTCTTTGCTATAATTTAAATATGATAAACAAAGGATATTTCCATTTTCTATACATTTGAAATTTGTTATCAATGTATATGCCAATTATTAATGTAGGTTAAAATTTGTTAGGAGTAATAAATACTTTAGAATACCTTGAAAATATATATATGAAATTTATATTTATATTCGTATTATGTTGTATTATATTATCGTTCTTTATGATGATTAAAATAATCAAAATCTTAGTAACCTGCTATCAGAAAAGAACAACAAAAAATTTAAAGTGTTCAGTGAAACAGTGCTTTGAAAAAGGAGAATAAAATATGAATAAAAATGTCTGCAGAAAAATGTAATCTCTCATGAGAGTTGTTCACCTTGAAAAGAGGGCGTCGGCCCCTTAGACGATGTACACATAGAGTTCATCGTTCTCATCTGGAATTCTCTACTTTTTTTAATTTCGCGCAAAATTCTGTTGGTAATGTAGCTTCCTTTCTCGATGTCGATAAAGTAGAACAGCGAAATTCGATAGAATAGTTTACTTGCAGAAGTTACCGAATGAGTTATTAACAATCGAATTCAACAACAGATGTCGGTAATTTTGTTGCGATGAAACGAAATGTGCCTACGTGTCGAGCCGTTTCACGAGTATGGCGACTAGGAAAGCGCGTGGGGGAAATAATAGGCCAAGTCCGTATTCGTTTCAGTGACCAAAATGATAATTTTCGCTATTAACGCATCACGTTTATAATTACTGTATTTGCTATTTCTTACAAGAGAGAGCAAAATTGTTACAAAATTGTCTCTTAAAGACAATTTATAACGTATTATGAATCTAATATACTCTGTAGATATTTAATTTGGAGACTTGGGGAAAATTATTCGAAGAACGCATTTACGAATTTTTTATATTCAAAATGGTGCCGAGTCCTATCGATTGTAATACGTATGTATTAACCACCACCATGATAAAAACTATTCAGAAAATGTAATTTAGTCTTAATCGATATCAATTATTCAAATTTCGTTGCGAATCATTGCATACGAACTCGTATGACATTTCAGCGTTTCCAAATTCAGAAATTGAAACGTTTTCATTAATTCTTTATTAGCTACTTCGAAATAGCTCGTACGGTTACAGCACCGTCAAATATCACTTAATGCGGTTACGTTCATCATTCTTGATTAACATTCGTGTCAGTGACCAGGTCAGAAGTTCGACTGTCATATACTAATAAGATATCTCACACAGTTATAAGGATTATTGAACACGTCAGAAATGTGAAATTTCACTTTATGCAAAACGCGTATTTCAACGAACGAATCAACCTCAGGTTCTTAACAAGTTCTTAACAACTCAAATTAATTTAAATTACTCTGGTATGATGGAAATTTTATTATTTACTTTTACACTTTTTCTTTTTTCTATTGCTACACCTATATACAGAATTCTCTTTGTAAAATACCTGTTTCAACATTCCTGCGGTATTTTGTTTTCAATTAATGTTGCAAATTCGTCGCAAATAACGTGACAATAGATATTGTTAGTGTTAACTTGACATTTTCTGTCAAGCAATCGGCTTTGTAGACGGTTAGGAGTGGGAATATCGATTTCCTGTTCAACCCTCCTTAACTGGGATGGTGCAAGATTCTCGTGGAACGAAACTCATAGTGGACTCCCTTCCGATCTTTCAACATTCCGCTCGACCACCATACCATGTAATCATCATCAGTTTCTGTAATTAATCTTTCTTCAACATTATTATTACTGTAATAATGTCGAGCAATACTATTACACTCGTTAGAGAGTGATTTTATGTGTGAGTGTGAAAACACTCTGTGTACAGGGTGGATCGCATGGTCAGAATTGTCAATCATTCTGTGTTGCGTGAAATATCTTTCGTTAGAACGAAAATAATTGATTTCATTGTGTGCAAACGATTCATGTGCAATCGGTGGGAAGATATTTCTCTCAAAGTCAAGATTTTAATTTAATAAATTAGTAGGTTAAACGAAACGCGAATAAAGGTTAAATAAAAAGAACATTCTTTGTTCAAATTTAAATTATGAGTCCCATTTTGTTTCTCATTTTTTCCCGAAAAATTTGAACCGGACGTCAAAGATAAAGTTTCATTTTACGTTAATTTAATCCGTTAAACTCACGTTCATATGCCTTCTGTTAGGAATGGACCGTGACAGTAAAAGTACAACTCGTTAAAAAATTACTCGGTCGAATAACGCTTTTCCATTTATCCTCTGATTAATGGTGAACTGCTGCGGATTTCACGCTGTCCATTTTCAATATATTTGTCATCATAAGTCACGCACCCGGAGTAATCTGTAAATACGCGTCGAACGGATATATTTCTTTTCATTGCCACATTTATGTGCACACGTTTCTATAATTCCTCGTTACTCTTTTATCCGATACAATATAATCGATTATATAAAATGCAGTTTCTTTTTGTTCCTGTTGTATGAATCGTCTGCTTTATAAAGCAGGGGAGGCATTATTAACTAAGTGTGTTAATTGGAATAATCTCGTGTCTCTCTGTAAATTAGAATAACGTTTGCGAACATTGCTTTCCTTTTCGAGTACAAATTAACATAATTAGTTATAAGCCACTTGTCAACAATCTTTCGTTACAAGTTATTACGTACAATTATGTGTAATTTGTCGTGCAGTTGTTGTGATATATTTGAACTTTAGATTCGGAATTTATATTTTGCAAAAAGGAAAAAAATTGTATAGAAAATATTGTGCTTTCTTTTTTTTACAAAGAAAACTAAAGAAGCATGTATTTTATCAATTTGTGCAGGACCTTGTAGAAAAATTTAGTCTAGTTTAATAGTTTTGTGTCTTATGTTGCGTGCAGGTCAATTGGTAACCGGTTGATCGTCATGCAAGGTAACAGTAATTTTAATTTCCCTGTAACTTCAGTACCATCGTTATATTACTTGTTGTTCTGACAAATGTTTGATAAGAAAATTGTTGTATAATTTTTCGATGTCTGGAAGTACCAACTGCGATGACTTAGAAGGGTAATATCTTCCGTCTTTATCCTATTCGATAAACCGCATACTTATTCAGTGAGTGAAATTGAATGGAAAATCTTCTCTTCGGATGCGTGAGGTGGTTTCCTTGAATATATTGGGTTTCAAAGCGTTCGTTCAGGTGTGCAAAGTAGGAAGTACATAACAGCAATTATTTGTAGACTACGCGAACAAAAAAAGACGGAATTACTCTTGTGTTTCTTCCGCGATTGCTATGTTCATCGTTATCGTAATGTAAAAAAAAAAAAGGTTTGGTATACATTTGCTGTACATATATTGACAAAAAGATTGGAGTCTCTAGCGTGATAAATTATATTGGTAACTATTTGTAATAGAAGACATTTCACGATTTTTATGAGCTTTTTATGTTGTCGAGGTCAATACGTTGAATAACTTTTTCCCTATATACATATATATTATGTAATAGTCATTCAGTTTTAACTTTATGCAAAAATGTTCAATTATATGCATTCGGTAGATTTATAGCTTGGATTTGTTAATAAAAAAACAGATTTCTGAAGATTTCATAATCTTACAATTTCAAATGTGGATTCAAATTTTTCTAAAGCGAATTCTCGCTAATAATATCGATCGAGACTTTAGAATAAAAATATTTGATTGAAATAATTTAGAAAACAGTAATATAAAATATAGAAGAAACGTTCTACGGCGATTTTTTTCCTCTTTTATATTACATTTTATTCACCACGTAAATGCAACTGCAAACTAGTGTTCGGTAACTGAAGAAACTGGAACGGGTCGCTCGATACTGTTGCGCTGTTGACAATTTTCTGTTTTGTTTGGAATGGTAAAAATTAAATTGTAAATCTCCTTGGACGAACACTTGGATTTGTCATTTCGTCTCGCTATATCGAAAGTGGTGCGAAAATCTCATAAGATAAAAAAAGTTTTAATTCTTTAATGGTTATTTTTTTATCGTACAAAGCAGTTGTTCATATTTATTTACTGCAAAAACTTTTGGCATATATTTTTGTATCCGACATCAGAAACACGAGAATTTTTGCATGAGGAAACAATTGCTTTTGAATTTTTCGTTATTTCATTATCGCGCCAAATGAATAACATCAAACAAAAGCTTCGCCATATGTGTCGATTTTTATAACCTACAATTTTTCCTGTTTTCATAACCAAAAATTGAATGAAATTTGATGTATTAATCAGATTCGCGTGATAGGTTAGTTTCATCGTAGCGTATGGCACCGCGTTGCGATCGCGATAATTAGACGAATAGAGCCACGGTTCGTCGATAACAGAAATTACAAAGAGAAAATGGCTTGGCGCACGCTACTAACTGAAGTATCGACGGTGAAATGAATATTATCGTTTCTGTACCGTGAAGTTGCTTCTTTTTGTTACCGCGCATCACGTGACTGCACAAGCGGGATGTTCACTGCACTTCGTAAGTCGAAACGAGTGTTTGGAATATTTTATCGCGATTCAAAGATTCTTCGAAAGTAACTTTATTTGCCAAAAGTGGATAAATGAATTTAGTTAAATTGTGACATTACATAAATAAAATGAGTTAAACTGTAACATTATAAGCGATGTGACCGAAGATAATTAATAGGTGAGTCCTCTTCAACAATAATTCAGCGTCTATTAAATAAGAGCGTTCGTTATTTCTTTATCCTTATTGGTTAGGATGCAACAAGTGTCGATATAATAATTCGTTTTAATGTTAAATTAACAAGATTTAATAAAAATTCAAGCTTCTATTGGATATTTGCGTATATATGAAAAATTCGTTTCACTTTTAATAGTTCGGAAAATACATTGCACAAAATACATCGGAAATTACACGTATACGCTGAATTTCGGCCATATTGCGTGTGAAATTATCGTGA